ACAGGGGTCTTGTTACATGGCCCAGGCTGGTCTCGAACTCTTGTATCCCTGAAGGGCTCCTCCTGCCTCAGCCTCCCTAAGTATTGGGATTACTGTTGTGAGCCACTGCGCCAGGACTGGAATTTGTCAGGTAAGATTTTCCAACTGCAGTTAACTGAAATTGTATAAAGCCAGCCCTCGAATAAGGGAGGACTACCGTAACCCAATTGTCCTGTAACTCAGAGAGAGGGTAGCTGTGTTGGCGCCTGAGACAGGGTGGGCTTCAGGGCTGCATGACCAGGGACTTCACACAGGTCTCATGCCGTGGCAAGCGTCTCCTTGACGTTTGGACAACGTGTCCATTTTCGCTTTTTCCAAATTCCAGGAACCTGTGAAGGAATCTGTTTTTCTTTTTGTTGTTTTTATTTTTATTATGTATTTATGTACGTATGCATTTATGTATTTGAGACAGAGTCTCACTCTGTCGCCCAGGCTGGAGTGCAGCGGCACCGTCTCGGCTCACAGCAATCTCCGCCTCCTGGATTTAAGCGATTCTCCTGCCTCAGCCTCCCAAGAAGCTGGGATTACAGGCACGCACCACCACGCCTGGCTGATTTTTGTATTTTTAGTAGAGATGGGGTTTTGCCATGTTGGCCGGGATGGTCTCGAACTCCTGACCTCAGGTCTCCAAAAGTGGGATTCCAGGATTGAGCCACCGCTCCCGGCCTTGTTTTGTTTTTAGCAACAGGGTCTCCCTGTATCGCCCCTGCTGGAGTGCAGCGGAGCAATCTCAGGTCACTGCAGCCTTGACCTCCTGGGCTCAAGGCATCCTGGTCTCCCCAAGATATTCCTGACTTCCATGAAGCCCCTGGGTCTCCAGAAACGCCCGTTTCTCTCTTGTGTTCTGAATTTCCTGTGTAACCGTGGCTTGTGTGAAGGGGGCTGGTAATTGGACATCTGTAAAGCTCCTTGGCGGTGGGGCCCTGTCTAAGCTGGCGGTCGGAGCTCCGTGTTAACAAGGTCAAGGTATGGTCAGGGTTTCCAGTGTGGTCCCCTTATGGCCTAATTAGGGACTTGAATGGGTTGCAACACTGGTTGAGTTTCAGTTCAGAGGCTATTTTGATGTTACAGTTCAATCACTTTAGAAAATATAGATTCAGTTCTGGTTCAGGCTGGCTCACTAGGTATGTGTCTGTATGTTTTAGTCTTTGATTTAGTTCATGGTTCAGTAACAAACTTAATACATTTTTCACCCATCATCAAATTAACAAAGATGAGCGAAATAATCACGCCTGGCCCTCGTGCAGGGTGTTAGATGGGCCGTGGTAATGGGGGGCTGCCGCAGACGTGAATTGGTACCTTTCTGAAAAGCAGCTTGACGTGATCTGTCAGATGCCTTGAGGAGGTCCAGACCCTCAGACCCAGCAATTTCCACCTCCTGGGATTTATCATAAGGATACGATCAGATGTGCACCAAGATTTACATACGAGAGTTGCTTCCTGCAGCCTTATTTACATCATGGAAAAATCAGGAATCGCTGAAATGTCCCACAGTACAGGTCTGGTTAACGAAAACAGGATAGCGACCGTTGTTTTACGACGTCTTCAGTAACGAGAGGGAACGGTGTATGATACTTTCCAGCAGAAGGGAAACGTTTTAATTAAAGCCGTAACTGACGTGCGAGCCGGAAGGAGCCTGTGAAAGGGGGTTCTGGCAGAGACCTGCCAGGCCTTTGTGCTGCCTTAGAAGCAGACCCTTTATTGAAACGGCGAGTCTCTACGGTTTAGGATAGAAATTCATTCTTTAAATAAAATTTGAGTGAGTGCTGGGTGACAGGGGCTGGGCGTACAATGGCGAGGAAAATAGAACACAGGGAAGTCACAGATGAATGGAGAGGCATTTAATAAAATAAGACCTAACATAGCAGTGGCATAAGAAATCTAAAAGCATTCATTTATTTAATACAAGAGCCAGAGGCTGGGTGTGGTGGCTCATGCCCGTAATCCTAGCACTTGGGGAGGCCGAGGCTGGCAGGTCACCTGAGGTCAGGAGCTCACCAGCCTGGGCAACACGGAGAGACCCCGAGTCTACTAAAAATACAAAAATTGGCCACGTGTGGTGGCATGCGCCTGTAATCCCAGCTACTCTGGAGGCTGAGGTAGGAAAATCACTGGAACCCAGGAGGCGGAGGTTGCGGTGAGCCGAGATGGTGCCACTGACTCCAGCCTCTGTCTCAAAAACAAACTCATTTGAGCTCATAGCAGCTTTGACCGCATAGGCTCAGGCTTCAGTGATCCCCCATCTTGGTCTCCCAAAGTGCTGGGGTTGCAGGCGTGAGCTGTTGCCACGCTGTTGTTTTTTTGTTTTGTTTTGTTTTGAGACAGAGTTTCACCCTTGCTGCCCCGGCTGGAGTGCATTGGCACGATCTTGGCTCACTGCAAACTCCGCCTCCCGGTTTAAGTGATTCTCCTGCCTCAGCCTCCTGAGTAGTTGGCATTACAGGCACGCGCCACCACGCCCAGCTAATGTTTGCATTTCTGGTAGAGACGGTGTCTCACCATGCTGGCCAGGCTGGTCTCGAACTCCTGACCTCAGGTGATGTGTCAGCTTTGGCCTCCCAAAGTGCTGAGATTACAGGCGTGAGTCACTGCCAGCTCAGATTTAAGGTGAGAGAATGATACCCGAGACATGGTTCTTGCTAGGCACCCACAGACCACCACACCCATTTTATAGACAAACCAAGACTCGGCTGGACAAGGTGGATCCCGCCTGTGACCCCAGCATTTTGGAAGGCAGAGGCGGGAACATCTCTTGAGCCCAAGAGATTGAGACCAGCCTGGCCAATAGAGCAAGACCCCGTCTCTAAAAAAATTAAAAATCTTAGCCAGGCATGGTGGTGCGCACCTGGGGTCCCAGCTATTCCGGAGGCTGAGGTGCAAGGATCGTTTGAGTCTGGGAGGTTGAGGCTGCAGTGAGCTATGATTCCGCCACTGCACTCCAGCCTGGGCCACAGAGTCAGACCTCGACTCAAAAATGTGAATAAAAATAAAAAACCAGTGACAGGTGAAAATTCTCAATAATGGGAAAAAAAAATCAGTTGCTAAGGTTGTCGGAATCCATGGAAGACATGAACCTCCTTTCACTGCAAATGTGCCAAAGGAAAAGGAAGTTAGAAGCAGCTTTGTTGCTACCCCTCCCCCTTAAAAAGTAGGGGACAGTGCGGGGCGCGGTGGCTCACGCCTGTAATCCCAGCACTTTGGGAGGCCGAGGCAGGCGGATCACGAGGTCGAGAGATCGAGACCAACCTGGCCAACATGGTGAAACCCCGTCTCTCCTAAAAATACAAAAATTAGCCGGGCGCGGTGGCTCAAGCCTGTAATCCCAGCACTTTGGGAGGCCGAGGCGGGTGGATCACGAGGTCGAGAGATCGAGACCAACCTGGTCAACATGGTGAAACCCCGTCTCTACTAAAAATACAAAAAATTAGCTGGGCATGGTGGCGCACGCCTGTAGTCCCAGCTACTTGGGAGGCTGAGGCAGGAGAATCGCTTGAACCCAGGAGGCGGAGGTTGCAGCGAGCCGAGATTGCGCCATTGCACTCCAGCGTGGTGACAGAGCAAGACTCTGTCTTGGGGGGGGAAAAAAAAAAAGTAGGGGACAATGGGTGAAGAGTGTTTCTACCAGTCTTTTTATCTTTTCTTTTTTGAGACAGAGTCGTGCTCTGTCTCCCAGGCTGGAGAGCACTGGGGCAACCACCCCTCACTGCAACCTCTGCCTCCTGGGTTCAAGTTATTCTCCTGCCTTAACCTCCCAGTTAGCTGGGATTACAGGCGCCCTTCCTCACGTCCGGCTAATTTTGTATTTTTAGTAGAGACAAGGGTTCACCATGTTGGCCAGGCTGGTCTCGAACTCCTGACCTCAGCTGATCTGCCCTCCTTGGCCTCCCAAAGTTCTGGGATTACAGGCGTGAGCCTCCACCCGGGCCTTTTTCGCATTTTTTTTTTTTTTTTTAAATAGAGATGGGTAGGGGTGGGGCCGGGCGTGGTGGCTCACGCTGGTAATCCAAGCACTTTGGAGGCCAAAGCAGGCGGATCACCAGAGGTCGGGAGTTCAAGACTGGTCTGACCAACATGATGAAACCCCATCTTAAAAAAAAAAAAAAAAAGACAGAGAGATGGGGGGGGTCTCACTATGTTGTCCAGTGGCGGCGGCCACAGAGGCTCACGCCTGTGATCCCAGCACTTTGGGAGGCCGAGGCAGGTGGATCACCTGCGTAAGGAGTTCGAGACCAGCCTGGCCAACATGGTGAAACCCTATCTCCACTAAAAATACAAAAATTAGCCGGGACTGGTGGCGGGTGCCTGTAATCTCAGCTACTCGAGAGGCAGAGGCCGCTGTGAGCTGAGGTCGCGCCACTGCATTCCAGCCTGGGCGACAGAGCAAGACCCCGTCTCAAAAAAACAAACAAACAAACAAAACGCAAACAGCCCAGGGAGAGGCCTGACTCCCGCCATGCGCTGGGGGTCTCGGGACCCTCCCAAGGTGGGGTCTGCTCTAGTTCAGAAGCTCATGACGCCTTTGCGGGGTGCCCGGGCGCCCCGGCTTTGGGATCAGTCAGACTCAGGTCCGTGGCGCGCAGCTCTCGGGCTGGGAGATGCCGCAGAACCTGGAAGATGATCGAAAGTTCTGGAAGCTTCTCTCAAGGGTCGTCGCGAGCGATGACGCCCGTTTCCCCACCGAGACCGGCCTCCGGGGGTCTGAATGGAGGACAAAGGACCGGGAGCGCGAGAAGGCGGCGCCCGAGAGCGGCCACACGCGCCCCGCCACCCGCTCTCCTAAGTCGGGAACTCGCGGGCGAACGGCAGAGGCGGTCGGCGGAAGGGGCGGAGCCGACTCGCGGCCGCAGACGCTGGAGGGGGCGGGGCCTTCGCGCGTTGGGAGCGTGCGCGTCCCATTGGGCGGCGGGAGGCAGGGGGCAGGGATTGGCGGCGCCGCGAGGTAAGCCCCGCCTCCGGCCCCGCGGGGAGCGGCGGCGGCGGCGGCGGCGGAGGCGGTGAGCGCGGGCGGCGCGGACGGCGGCGGTTGGCGGGCGGGTCCTCCGCCGTTGGGGCCGCCGCGGCCTCCTCGCCCTGGCTCGGGGCGCCGCTCTCGGGAACGCCTGGGGCCGGGTGAGCCCGGCGGGATGCGTTCCTCTCTTCCGCCAGGCGGGGGCTGGGGCGAGGAGGCCTGGCCTGGGGGGAGGGGCGGCCCCGGCCTAGAGACTCTTCGGGGGCGCCTGGTCCCCGCCGCCATGCGAACCCCTCACTCTGCGCGGACCCCGTTTCCCGTCCCTGCCGCTGTGGGCCCCCCAGTTTGCCTGGATCGCCTTTCCCGCCCTTGTTGCCGTGGGCCTTCCCTTTACCTGAACCCCCTTTCCCGTCCCTGCCGCCGTGGGCCCCCCTTCTACCTTGGACCCCATCTCCGTGGACCCTCTCCCCCATATTTGCTGCCTGGACCTACGTCTCCTTCCTTGGATCCTCCCCCCACCGTGAAACCTCCCATCCCTGCTGCCTGGACCTTCCGCTCCACCTCCTCCCTGAGCCCCCCGACTTCTGCTGTGACACCCCGCCCCCGCTCCTCTGTTGTCCGACTCCCTGGTTCCTGCAAACCGCAACCCTCCCTCCCCGGTGAAATCCCTTTCCCTGCAGCCTGGACCCCGACTTCTGCTGCTGTGCCTGAAACGCCACCCCCACCTCTGCCGGGAACCCCCTCTTCCCTGCAGCTGAATTCCACCCCACCCCCAAACCTTTCATTTCTGTCAACAGCCAAGCCAGTCCTTCCCAGTGGCGCCCCGAACGGCCTGCAGCTGTCCCGCTCTTTCCAGGGACCTGGCAGGCCAAGGAGCGGGCGTTTTTCGGCTCTTTGTGTGTGTGTGCGCGGTGGTCTGCTGTTGACCCCCCAAATTGGGGAGGGTCGTGCGCTTTGATTGTGTAAAACGCCTCTCCTGCCGAGTTCGGAGGCAGGCCTTCTGCGCGGAGATGATTTATTCAGGAGCCTTTTAAAAATAAGCTAGGCAGAACCTTCTGGGGGGACTGTGCTCTATTTTATTTATGAAAAAATGCAGGCGCCCTCCCCGGGTGCCCAGCCCCGCCGATTGTCGGTCTGTTTTTTGGCATAGAGCCTCTCAGTGCGGGATCGTGGCATCGAACCCTCTCCTGGAGGCCGAGCCGAGCTCACCTTTGCCCCGAGGGCTGTGTCTGCGTTCACATCGCAAACAGTTTGATAAACCTCCCTGCACATTTTGTTGCAGGGCACACCCGCGCCAGACCTCGGAGGACTTTGCCAAAGCCCCGCCGCCTGCCACATGTGCGTGAATGATGGCGGATGCCAAGTATGTCCTCTGCCGATGGGAAAAGCGATTATGGCCTGCGAAGGTGACAGCCATTATTCTGCCACTTCAGGAATTAGAAATGACTTTCGGGTGACAAGTAAAATCTTTATCAGGAGATACCTAGGAGCTGCTTCAGTGAAGGAATGGAGCTAGGACGGTCGGCACCGATTCTTCTTCCCCGTTTGATAGGGTTTTGGTCTAGTGCTTCCAAGGTTACGCTTCCAGAAATGTCTTTTTTTCCCCACACACTTAAAAAAAAAAAAAAAAAAAGAATGAGCTATAAAAAGGCATGTAAGTCTGTAACTCAAGGAAAAATCTGGCGAGCAGCCCTGTGATAGTAAATTATGGTCGTGTTCAGGGAGGCTTTCCAGCAATTCAGTACAGTGCTTGCGCCAGTGCAGAAGCCCGGGGCCTTGTCTTTGTCTGCCACTGACCTCTTGTGCCTCGGTTTCCCCATCTGTGAAACAATGGGGATCGGACCAAATACCTGAAATCCCGTGGTCGTGGACCTTCGGGATGGCCTGCTGCGTTTGTACGAAGTGTTGCCACTGTTTTTTACTAGGTCAGCTGTTTTAATAACGTGGATTTCCTTTTTTTTAAATGTAGGTTTTGGCCCGAACCAAGACTTCAACAAAACATAAGAGAAAAAAGGAATATTTTCTAGATGTCCAAATCCTCTCCCTAGAGGAAAAGTTAAGTGTCGTGTTTTTTCCAATACCGTCTTTTTCCTGTGTAGATTTCGGATACTTCCATTCCCTACCCCCACAAAACAGTTGAAGTCCACTCTTAATGGGCTTCTTCACCATTTGCTTACTGTAATTCATTAATGCTCGTAATAACCTCATGAGAAAGCAACTCGTTTGATTTTATGCCACTTCGGAAGCTGAAGCTGTAAACGAGGCATTCTGTGAGATCTATGGAGAGATCGGTGCAAAAACTGAATACATGTAAATTATACTCAGTTTGTGGTTAAAATAGGGATTTTTTTTGGGTCCGTTTCTTAATCATTGCCATGCCATAAAAATAGGGATATTTCCTCCCTGGAGATCTGTGTGTCTTTTCTTCAGAAACCTCCGTGGCAGGCCCATCCGTTTTGAAATATTTGGTTTTTGAGCCTGTCACTCTAAACTAGTCTTCAGCATTCAGAAGGCGAATAACCCGTGACCAGGCGGCACGCGGTTCTGCTCTGCGAGTGTCTGGCACTGGGGAGGTGTAAGTCCTCTAGAGTGACGGCAGTTCTGAGGCCCAGTCCCGTGTGATCGTGGCGAGGGTGCTTCTGCCGGGAGAATTTCCAGTTCGGGAGAGAGCAAGGAGACTGACCCCTCGGGGTCCCAGTCATTGGTCCCCTGTCGCTCTTGCTCTTTCTTGCGGCGCTCCCCCTGCCCCACTCCTTCCTGCCTGCATCTTCAGAGCGGCCTCGGAAGCACGCCTGGTCCCCAGCTCACGCTTTCCCTGCGGCTGGGAAGGTAATTGAATACTCGAGTTTAAAAGGAAAGCACATCCTTTTAAACTAAAACACACCTGCTGGGCTGTAAACAGCTTTTAGTGACATTACCATCTATTCTGAAAATCTAACAAAGGAGTTATTTGTGCAGTTGAAAAGTAGGATTTGCCTCATAAAAGTCACAATTTGAATTCATTTGTACTCTTAAATCCAGCCAACCTTTTCTGTCTTAAAAGGGGAAAAAAAAAATATTCACCAGGGTTCTTGCTGCCTCTAACCCCAGGCAGATAAATTCCTAGTTGGCTGTGACTTTTGGTTTCAGTGGAAGGTTGAGGAGGAAAATGCAATGAATTCTTTTGTTACCTGCAGGAAAACGTGTTTGAAAATGTCTGGGTGGCGGTGGCTGGTGGTGTATAATGTCGATTCTGTCTCTGCAGAATTCAGGTGAAAAGCACCGAAGTTGAGATCCTAGAGAAGTCTCACATCGAAGCCATTGCCTCCTCCTTAGGTAAGAGTGTGTTTCTAAGTGGCCACTAGGTTTTAATAACGTAAGAGATCATTTGGGAGAACGTGAAGGCTCAGCTTTCTGGGTAAAAATTCACCCTGTTCATCATGTTTTTCTTGATACAAGGGCACGTGAATTCCCTGAGCTGCAGGAGAAGGGAGCGTGGGTCTGCTTTCTTAAACCTTTCCAGAATGTGCCCTAGAACCACGCCCATTCTTGACACCCAGAGTGGTCCCTGGTGAGCATCAAGGTCGTCTGATTCCTCCGTGGCCTCCAGTATACAAGACGTGGATGACTTTGCTTCCATGAAGGGGGGCGGTTTTCCTTTCTCCTTTGCTCTTCCCGTAGTAAGACTCCCTGTGGTTCTGTCTCTGACTGGCCAGTCTGGTCTCAGTCCAAGGTTTGAGAAGCAGTTGGTCGTGTGTGTAAAATTCCAGAGCGGAGCCCAGTGGAGGGAACGGGTGGCCTGGCACTGGAGTTGGTGGCGCCCCATTGTTTGAGGCACTGTCATGGTGGGCACGAGGCAGGTTAGAAGTGGAGATCTCAGCTTCCCGTCCACCCCGGTGCGCTTTCTCCCGGGCCCTCAGTTCGGCACCCACCTCCTTTGCAGGCAGTGGGTGAGAAAGGCTTTGCCTGAGCCCAGCCAGCGACATGTCACGCACACACACAGTGAGGAGCATCATGGAGTGCGTGCTCCCTAGCCATAGCTCTGAAACCCAAACGTGCCGTCTTTCTCCTCAAAGTGGCACTATTTATCCTATTTGCAAAGAATTGTTTCTCTTATGAAAAGATGGGCCAGAATTGCTTCCAATGCTGTTTATCAAATCAGGTCTGTTTTCCTGTGTCTTCCGAAAAATGGCTCTTGTTTAAAGCAGGGTCTGTCTCTGTAACTTAGGCAGGGTTGACCATCCTCTCAGACGCTGGCATCCTCGCTGGCGCAGATTGTGTTGGGGGCCGGTTGTTTGTGGGGGCCTTTAATATTCAGCTGGGAAATACTGTTATGATTGAGGCATTATGCCCGCTGAGTTGTGATACTGCATCCATCATCTTGTTCAAATAAATAGCGCCATATCTCTATGTCGGAATGAATAAATAAGCGTCCTGCAGCAGGGAGGTTGGGCTGGAAACCAGAGGCCCACGATGCTCTTTGCTGGCTTTGAAATGCCCTTGCAAAGAAGTATTGAAAATTGACCAGCCCACAATGAGTCTTTTAAATCTCCTGTTTCTTGCTACCACCAACCCCCCAACCAGGAATACGTGGCCGGCAGAGTTCTTTATGTAGTTGGCATTGGGTTTTATGGACCCTGATTGAATTTGAAATTGTAAGGCTGAGAGAGGATTTGCAAAACATTTGAATACATTTTGCTCACAGGATTGTTTTGTAACTCGGAGGAATTTATGTTTCTAGCCAATCAGATTAAGGTCAGTAAATGTGGTTTTTAAGAACCTGAAGCCTGGAAGCCCGGGATGAATAGCTGTTGTGTGGTAGCCTCATCCCCTTTTTGGGAAAATGTAGGTGAGAAGTGTTAGTCCTCCCCGTCAGGGACTGAGGTATGAAACCAGCCGTCAGAGCTAGACAAGTGTGCTTTGAGAGCGGTGCCCGACTGCGGCGCCCGGGCCGGGAGCGTGACCGGCATTGTGTGTGTTCCGTCCCTGCAGCCGCACAGAGTGAGGTTCCCGCGGCTCCCCTGGAAGAGCTGGCCTACAGACGGTCACTTCGCGTGGCTCTGGATGTGCTGAGCGAGGGGCTTGTGTGGAGTCGAGGAAGCTCCCCGGACACGGGTAGGGCTGAGCGGTCTCCGAGGAGGAAGCCCCCGGAACCCGTCCCCTCGCCCTGCGGTTCCAGCTCCTCGTCTCCTCCTGGCGGAGGCGTGGTGGGCAGTTCCGGACCTCACAGAAGGAGGGAGTGCGTGCGGCAGAGCCCGTCAAGGCCGTTCACTTGTGAAAAGGACCCCAAGTGCAAAGTGGACCACAAGAAGGGACTCAGGAAAAGTGACAACCCTGGAGGCCTTTCGGTCCTCTCAGCTGGAGATGGTTCCCAGGATGGGAGCCAGTCGAGAATCCACCGCCAAAGTGGGACTCTCACAAGTAAGAGGGGAAGAAAGTCAGCACCGAAGTCCAGCCTGTGCCCCGGGGGGTCTTCCCTTTCAGAGAGTGGTGCGGAGGAAGACAGTGGGAGCGAGGCAGGCCGCTGGGCAGCTCCGTCCTCGCCCTGCGGGGTCAGGAAAGGCAATCCCTGTGCCAACGCCGGTCTGCCGTCGGGCAGCCTCACTGTGCCCCTAGCCCCTGAGCCCTCAGCCTGCTCGGAGCGCGGCGAGTGCTCTGCGAAGAAGAGGCCGCGCTTGGATGGCAGCCAGAGGCAGCCTGCCGTGCAGCTGGAGCCCAGGGCCGCCGGGGCTGCACCGTCCCCTGGGCCAGACGTGGGGCCCAGGGAGTCCCTGACCCTGAGAAGCACTGCCAGTCTCCGCCTGCCTCCCTCCCGCGCCCCTGTGGATGAAACCAGACGTCCTCGGCCGGATTCCCAGAAGCTGGAGGAAGGTAAAAGTTTCTCGTGGAGGGGGACAGCACAGAGGGTGGAGTCCTGCTCCTCCCGCAGCCAGACTGGGGAGTGAGGCACGCGTGCATTTCTAACCGGCTCTTAATGAGATCATTACTGAAGTAGACTTAGAGCAGAGCCTTCCTCGTTCCTGTTTGTCTGTCTCCCCACTGGGCTGTAATTACTTCACCTTCTCCCAAATACTGGTATTCTTATTTTTGTTCAGAAGCGCAGGGAGTCAGGCACGTGGGGAGCCCGTGGAGGGGCGGACGGGCCACAGTTGTGTGCAGCGGGGCTGGGAGCATTGTGGCTGTGCTGAGGCTGAGGCTGCGCCCCGAGGATTAACCCTTCCGTTAACTGTTACAGAAGCAATAACGCACTCCCATTACGTTGGGCAGGAATCTGAAAAGTGATTAACTCACTCAAAAGCCTCCCGATGTTTTCAGAATTCACGTGCAGATGTGTTTTTGTGTGGTTGCAGGCAAGCACTGTGATTTGTTTCCTTTTAACGTTGTAGCATCCCTGAATTTTGAAATGCGAGTTCTGAAATCGTAATTACTGCATGTTCAAATGTCTGGAAATCTGCTTGCTACTCACTGCGTAGATTTCAGGCTTGATTCTGAACTTCTTTGCTGAGGCCCCCATCTCCTTAGCTTGGTGGAGCGGCCGGGAACTGAGGGTGCCTGTCTGCCACGCTCCAGAAATGACAAAGTGTCTGAAGGCGCAGTGGCCGCACCCTGCCCTGCTCCACAGTCCGCTCCTGTCCCGGCCCTCCCTGCGTTCCCACTGAGCGCCTCAGATGTGAATGGGTAGCTGGGCCGGGACAAAAGGGGGATTCCCACCCAGAGTGTGCGCAGCTTCTGTGGCTGAGGTGGCTGCTGCTGACGGCCCGCTCTCCCTTCACCTTCACCTTCACCTTCACCGCAGGCCTCTCTCCCTCCCTCCCTCCCTCTCGTGTTTTCTTGAAAATGTGGTTTATTAGAAGCGCACTCTGCTTGGATTTGGCAGTGTGGGGTTGTGTGTAGCACGGAGCCTTTTCTCGATGCATTGACGGTCATGTGTCATGAAATGTTTTCTTGGGATGAGTCATCAAGCCAGCGCAGTGACGATGAAAGTCTGATATCACGTTATTGGCAGATTGCCGGTCTTCCGAAGTGTCTCTGAGGTCGAATTCGATGCGTTCTATACTGGAGGAAGACGAAGAAGATGAGGAGCCACCAAGAATCCTTTTATACCACGGTAAGCAGTGACCAGGGAGCATGCCTGCAGCCCTAACGACGCGCTCAAAGGCAGTGTGGGCTGTGGTTCTGAGACCGTGCCTGCCATCCTCCACCAAAGGGCTCCTGCTAGTTCATTTCTCTCCCACTGAACCGAGGCCTGGAAGGGACCTTCAGAAGTGCCACGTTGTCAGTCCTCTATCTTAAGCATAACCTACACAAAGGGAAGAGGGACTCCTGGGAAGAGACGGCCCAGCCCTCCCTGTTAGAGCGCTACTCCTGTCACTTACCTCCAGCCCTCGTCCTCCTGGCCCCTTGCTGGGAATGAAGGACGGCCCGGGGAGCCCAGGGGCTGTGCCGCCATCGCTTGGGTGTGGCCGTGGCCCTGTCTGGAGGCCTCCGTTGGCGATGGTGCTGGGGAGGCCGTCCAGGGGGAGAATTGTTCCCGGCCTCTCCTGTAAGTAGCTGCTTGCACAGGAGGGAAACCTGCTTTTAGGTGCCGCAGAACAGCTACGTGGAAGGGACTAGAAATGAGAGACCCGAAGAGCTGAACCAGCCGTGACAGAAAGTCAGCTTTGCGAACCAAGTCACGACATCCAGCCCCGGAAGCATTCAGCTCAGCTAATCTTGCTTTTCTTTAACCTTCTAGTTTCAAAATAATTGTAGATTCACAAAACAGTTATGGATGGTACAGGGAGGGCCGCGGGCCTCTCTCCCGGGCTCCCCCGCCGGCAGCACCCGGAAGACGCGGGGTGCTTCCTGGCCAGGAAGCTGCTGTGGGTGCAGCCACGGGGGCTCCAGTTCCCGCACACTGGAGTGCCTGTGGTCTTGCGACATCGTTTCTTTTCTTTGTCCAAGCCGTTTGAGTGCTTTTCCATCATTTAGTGAGCTTCATTACAGCTTCACATTTTCCTTTTTTTTTTTTTTTTTTTTTTTTTTTTTTTTGTTTAATGCTAATGGTCAGACTTTTGAACAGTTTTCCACATGCTCTTCGGAGCCCTTTCCTTTGGGTGAGGAGTCGCCACTCACCAAACCCTGCCTCACCCATTGGGCACCTGCCTGGATGGTCGGGGATCGCGGGCGCTGTGGGGCAGTCGCCGGGGCCTTCCGGGAAATCATCTCTGCAGGATCAGTTGACACACGGGAAGAGCACAGAGCCCTTGGGAAGGCCCCTTCCCACCACGCCGCCCCACAGGGTCGGGACAGCAGGCCTCACAGAGCCCGGTGCTGGCTGGCTTCTGGCCCTGCGGGGACTGGGCTTTGCTCCCGTTTGGTTTTGCTTCCTGCCAGGCTGGCCGTTTTTTGAGCCCTGACCGGCCTCTGAATTGGCTGCCTGTCCACCTGGGCCTGGAAGTTTCTCTTGAAGACTGAATGCCCCTCCCCGGTCGCCTCCCCTCTCCTCCGCTCAGGCTGGTTACGTTACAGCGACCGGCAGCACTTCCGTCTTCCGCTGTGCCGTCTGCCACGCAGAGGCTTTGTGTGTCTAAGGACAGCCAGTTGCCAGTAGTTTTTCTAATACTTCAGTTTTAAAATTGTAACTCATTCCCTCATTTTTTGGCATTGAGAATATTCATAAATAGTTTTCTGGTTACGTTTTAAATTTTCTTAGTTTTGACCCTGGTTTCTCAGAATCCCCTGTAGAAATTCGCCCCAGTGTTGGGCTCTTTTCCGCGCACCGTGGCCTCACGTCTGTCGTGTGCCACTCTTTTTAAAAAGTGTCCTCCTGGGCCGGGCGTGGTGGCTCAAGCCTGTAATCCCAGCACTTTGGGAGGAGGGTGGATCACAAGGTCAAGAGATCGAGACCATCCTGGTCAACATGGTGAAACCCCGTCTCTACTAAAAATACAAAAAATTAGCTGGGCATGGTGGCGCGTGCCTGTAATCCCAGCTACTCAGGAGGCTGAGGCAGGAGAATTGCCTGAGCCCAGGAGGCGGAGGTTGCGGTGAGCCGAGATCGCGCCATTGCACTCCAGCCTGGGTAACAAGAGCGAAACTCTGTCTCAGGAAAAAAAAAAAAAAAAAAAAAAAAAAAAGTGTCCTCCTGTGGAGGGACTTTAGAGAGAGAAATTGCACACACGGGACAGAGCCGCTGCCACCCCAACGGCACCCTCGCAGCCCAGGTGCTTGGTCACAGCTGAGAGCTCGGCCGCAGCTCACTCCCCACTGCCGCCGTTTTCTTCTGTGGTCTCGTCATTGGCGGTGAGACTCAAGTCCTGCGGGTTATGAATCTGCCCTGCAAATTCTCCTTTTCAGTCAATTACGTGCAAGTCAGGCTTAGACACGATCTCGGGAACTGTTTTTTGGTCTGTTATACCAGTGTGTGATGTGGATTTGACTTGTCTATTCTTTTTTCTGTTGTTTTTCTTTTTTCTTTCTTTAATTCTAGAACCACGGTCGTTTGAAGTAGGAATGCTAGTGTGGCTTAAATACCAGAAATACCCCTTCTGGCCAGCAGTGGTAAGAACAGCTTTCTCCATCTTCTAAAATGTAGTCAGTCACATTTCACGAATTTTTACTCCACTCCTACTCAGTTCTTGATAATTTGTCCTGGACAAATGTTTTCATTATTTTGTTTTTCCTGGGAAAAGTTGGTGGGTTTATACAAAAGAGTTCTGGAGATGTGTGTACCTAAATAAAGGCACAATGGTGGTGGCGTTTATAGGCCACGTTTTTAGCCAAGCAGGCTTAGAAAGACCTTGAAAGAAATATTTGTGGCCGGGCGTGATGACTCATGCCTGCAATCCCAGCGCTTAGGGAGGCCGAGGTGGGTGGATCACAAGGTCAGGAGTTCGAGACCAGCCTGGCCAACATGGTGAAACCCCATCTCTAACTAAAAATACAAAAAATTGGCCTGGCATGGTGGTGGGCACCTGCAATCCCAGCTACTGGGGAGGCTGAGGCAGGAGAATTGCTTGAACCCAGGAGGCGGAGGTTGCAGTGAGCCAAGATCGCACCACTGCACTTAGCTGGGCAACAGAGCAAGACTCTTACCTGGGGATGGGGGAAGGAAAAAAGTTCGCTCATCTTCAGTACTGTGCGTTTCACCCAGTTTTACCCCATTAGAGCTCATTGGTCTCGATGTTGTGGGGTTGGTTGCATGCATCGGGATAGGTGTTTGAAATCCTGTCCAAGTTCCCAGTGTGGGTGTTGGGCTGAAGCAGGAGCAGATTCTCCACTCCCGTCTTGCCGCCTGGAAGTTGCAGTCGTTAGTTTGAGTGCTGTCCTGGCCCTCACCTCTGCTTCCTGGTTTACCCGTTTTTCCCCTTTATTCTCCTAAGAGACAATAGTGTTTAAATCCAAAGGCGTTTGCTCCGCAGCAATCCGGAGATGCTTTTGTTGCTCTGATGACGGACCTCACCCGAGTCACCCAGGCTCCTTGCGTGTATCTGATTACGGTCCTGGACACCTTCGGGTTGAATTGGCGCAGTGTTTGCTGGGGAGGTTGAGCTGGCCTCGTATCGCCTGCTGGCTGGCGGTGTTGGAGGCCGGGCTTCTGGGGCCTCTGCCCTTCCTCAGCACTGGCTTCCCCTCCCGCACCTTGCTAGTCTTCCCTTGTTTTCATCAGTTTCTGGGGTCTCTGCTGGGTTAACAGGTCACTGATGTGGCAGGTTCCTGTGGCATAAGAGCCGGCGGCCTCCCGGGGTGGGGTGCAGCGCGGAAGGGCCGTCTGAGGCGCTGGTTGCTGGTGCTTCTCGGTCTTCTCAGGGTGGCCCCGGGAGGCCAGGACTGGGGGGCTGGGGGCAGGTGGCAGCGCCATGCAGTCCCCCACCCCTCCCCGTGCGGCCTGGACTTGTTCCTGAGCCTTTCCGCGCTCGGTCCACTCACCCAGAGCGTGGAGGATAAACCCACCCTGCTGAGCCCCTGGGAGAATCCGTCAGGTGCTTATTTAAAGAGGCAGCTGGTAGTGGTCGTGTGGTTCTTTTTATTCAAAAACCCATACAAAACTGGCTGATTCCGCTCAAAAGGGAAAGCATTTACGTGATGCGTGAGGCCGTCTCTGCGCTTCCTTTCGAGAGACTTGGCCCGGGTCACCCCAGAGCCGGGGCAGTGCCTGCTAACATGTAGCATGTCAGAAAGAGTGTTTAAGATCCACGGTCTCGTTTTCGTTTTGACATTGTATTCTCTTGGATTTGCGAACAGGTCAAGAGCGTCCGGCGGAGAGATAAGAAAGCGAGCGTGCTGTTCATCGAAGGGGACATGAACCCGAAGGGGAAAGGGTAGCACGGGTCTGGGTTTCTGAGCACGGGCCGGGTGGTGTGGGGACGGAGGGGCGGACGGGAGGCCCCAGCGTGAGTCCAAGCCCGGGCAGGGCCGGTGGGGTATCACTGGAGGTGCGCCCTTCCTGTGACCTCTCACTGGCCGGGAAGGGTGAGCCAGACAAAGGCTGTGTGAAGGATCTGGTCAGATACTCCAGTTTTCACAGTGTGATTTACTGGCTTTGAAAGAGCCCAACCAGATGCTCACTGAGGCCCCGTTTCCCACAAACTAGCAAAATGTGGTCCAGGCAGGTGTGCAGACAGCCTCTCAGCCTCTACCTGAGTTTGCCCCTGGGTTACCTGGTCGGTCCTTAGTCATGGGCTGAGAACACAGGTAGCTGGATCAGCCGGCTGAAAGCAGCCTTCAGACCATCTCACTACATGCTCCAAATGTGAATGCTCAGAACCGGTGTCTTCTGACTCCTGGTACTTCCGAGCTGCCCCGGGGGGTGGGAGGTGTGGCCTGGAGACCAGGCGTGCCTGACTTGGGGGGCCCAGTGAGTGTCGCTGAAGTCACTGGACCCACCATGATGCGTCGAGGACTCCAGGAGCTTCTTGGCAGCTGGGGAAGTGGTCACCTTCCTTAAATAAGCTGGGGCTGGTGGGTCCTGCAGCCGCCTCACTGATCTTTATCAGAGGCTTGTTAGAGGAAGTTCATCCATGTTAACTTTTCCATCTCTCTGCTTCAAGTATCACAGTGTCCCTTAGAAGATTAAAGCACTTTGATTGTAAGGACAAACAGACACTTCTGGTAGGTGGATTATGATTTGTGCTTGCTTCTTTAAGTGGTTTATTTTGTGATTAGTAAATGTGTCCTCTGTAGCTCTGGAAATCGTGGCTGCGGTGTATGTGTGTGAATGACGGTGGGAGTAGCAGAGCCGGGCTGCGTTCCGGCTACTAGAGTTAGATCGTGGGCTCAGTCACTGCACCGAATTCTCACAACTGCCCTGGCAAGTTGCAGCCCCATTTCCCCACTTGACAGGTGAGGAAGCTGAGGCTCTGGCGGGGACAGTTTGCACAAGGCCACCGCCTTCCCTGGCTGACTGTTCTCAGTCCACCCCAGGGCACACGTGCCTCGGCAGCCGCCCCTTGAGGCCGGAGGCGTCCCTAGTTCAGCATGCTCTCCAGTGCCACGGTGAGCCTGGCCTGTGCCATGTGGCGCGTCAGCTTGCTGCAGAGCGGCTCCCCGTGCCCTGGATCTGCAGCCAGCTTTCATCACGCTCTGTCAAACTGCAAGGGGTTTGTCTAACTCAGAAATGTCTGTTTCCCCTCTGGAAATACCCATTTTGTTGTAGCGACTTTGAACACCAACATGTCAACTCAGTGCAATTATTTTTACTTCTCTGGAATCCAGTGTTCAGCCTTTCCTAGATTTTGCCATTACAGCTGAGCCCAAAATGGACATCTTTCTGTCTGTTCCCACATTCTCTCCTGAGGCCACAGGCAGGGCCGAGGCCGTCCCGGCGGACTCTTGTGACGCTGTGCTGTTTTCAGTTTCATGGCAAGCACATGCTTTGGGCGTGGATGGCTTTTTCTTTCCCTAACCTTGTGAGGTTGGCACCGTGTCTGTCCTGAGCTTTTCTTCGTACGTCAGTCACCTGCGTTTCTCTGAGGCGGTGACCCTCGCTCCCTGCCTGTCACCAATTTGGGTGTGTTCACTGCAGCCCGAAGGTGCTGGGGGAGGGCACAGACCACGCAAGAGCCTGGCCTCCCTGACCTGAGCTTGCTTCACGCTCTGAGAAGTGTCGTTTCTGGCACGAGGTGCTGGCTCACGCCTGTGATCTCAGCATTTTGGGAGGCCCAGGCAGAAAAGATCACTTGATCTCGGGAATTCAAGACAAGCCTGGGCAATGTACAGAGACCCTGTCTCTACAAAAGATAACATAAATTAGTAGGCGTGGTGCTACTCAGGAGGCTGAGGTGGGAAGACGGTTTGAGCCCAGGAGCTGGAAGCTGCAGGGAGCCGAGATGGCGCCACTGCACTTCAGCCTGGGCGAGATCCTTTCTCAGAAAATTCAACACGGTGTCTTTTCCACTCTGAAGCATCTGAATTACCTTCTAAATATGGAGGAAGGTGTGGGGAGAGGAGGACAGTAGGAAGCTCCGTGCGTTAGAAGGGCTGCAGTTTATAACACAAAGCCTGTGTTCTGAGAGAGTGTGCGCTCACATCTGCTCGTGCAGTCAGGTGTGGTGGGCACGAAGCCCACCTTATTCAGGGGAAGTCAGTGTGGCTTCTGAGGAAGGGTGTTGGGGAAGCCGTGCTTTAGGAAGGTGCGGGGCTGCTGGGGCGGCAGGGAGTGGTGTCCGCCGGCCTTGGGTTACGCTGATGGTGCACTGTGTTCCCGGTGGCCCTCGGTCCAGTGTTCCCTGGGTCATTGTGTGGTGGTCGTGGCTTTGTGGCATCTGTGGGGCTGCTGTGTCCTTTTCTGAGGACCCACCCAGCTGCCAGCTCAGGTGCTGGCCTAGCCTGGCCACAGTCAACAGCTCCCAACAAAAGCGTCTCTGAGAGCAGCTTATTTCCAAGACTTCACATCTTCTCATCTGGTACATGGGAGGTGTTTCACCACTGTGGATGCCTTCAGGTCGGGCCCAGACCCGGGTCTGGTGTGTGTCCTGCTGACCAGGGCATTCCTGTACGAGGCATCTGCCAGCCCCCTTTGTCAGGGAGGATCAGAGGTGTGGGCTGGAGGGTTGGGTGGCCTGGACACATGGCTAGTCCCCTGGCCTACGTGGCTTCTGAACCCAGGGTGCTTGGGGCTGCCTCCCGCTGACGCCTACCGCCCGGGTCTCCTTGTAGAACCAAGCCAGGGAGGACTTCGACCAGGCCATCGGCTGGTGCGTCTCCCTCATCACGGACTACAGGGTCCGGTTAGGTACGTGGGGTGCTGGGGGGTGGCCCCTCCGAGGGACAGGGCTGGAGCTGCCTGGGGGTGAAGCATGTCTCCGTGGCCCTGGGGCATTCCCTGTGGGTGGGCTGGGGTTCTGGCCTGGCCTGACCATTTCCTAAACAGAGATGCCGGGGCGGCGCCTGGAACATGCTTCCCGGGACTCCTCTTACGTCTACACACTGCTGTCTCCCCTGCACCCCCTGCAGGCTGCAGGTCTTTTGCCGGCTCTTTCCTGGAATATTACGCAGCTGATATAAGTAAGTCTACAGACACATCTTGGAAAGTGTGATCTGCCTTTTAGTCCTTTAGAAAAAAACAGTCTTTTATGTCCAAAGCTGTGGAAGGGGACGTTGGGGTCAAGGCACTGTCCACAGCCACCCGGCATTGTGCAACCCTACTGGGTTTTGATGTGACCCCTGAGGGTCCCTGGGACCTGGGGCTGCTGGTGTCCCTGGCACAGCTTCTCGAGCCTGCCCTGGGGCCCTCATCCCATGGGCCACAGCCACCCTGTCCCAGCTGTGGCTGGTGGCTGCGCACCTCAGATACCGTTCAGAATGTAGCCAGGTGTGGAGGCTCACACCTGTCATCCCAGCACTTTGGGAGGCTGATGTAGAAGGATTGCTTGAGGCCAGGAGATCTAGACTAGCCTGGGCAACAGAGCAAGACCCCATGTCTACAAAATAATAATAGTAGTAATAATAATAATAATAGAAAAAAGTGATCTGGGCTGCTGCACACACGCCTGCAGCCTCAGTGGCTCGGGAGGCAGAGGTGGGAGGACGGCCTGGTGACCTGTGGGACTGCGCCACTGCTCTCCAGCCTGGGGGACAGAGCGGGAACTTGTCTCAGAAAGAAAGAGAATGTGCCACGAACACCAGAACCTTTGGCCAGCCTGTCATTGTTGGTCCAGCATTTTCCGTTGTGGACGGCAGCGGCGCTTGGGGAGTGGACGTGGCTGAATTGATTCTTCTTGGGCAGTGCTTCACGGGCAGGCGCTTCGCTCTGCTCTAAGGGCCCAGTGAGGGGAGAAAGGCCAGGGGGCCCAGCAGAGGAGGGGTCTTGAGGACCGTGAACGCGCCGCTCCCGTGCTGACATGGCGCTTGAGCACTAGGGTCTGCCCCCACCCCGGCCGTGTTGCAGCCTCGCTTCAGCCCTGACCCACGCCGCGTAGGAAGGAACCCATGCGCTGGTCCTGCCACACGTGCTTCTTTGCAGGCTATCCTGTCCGAAAATCCATCCGGCAGGACGTCCTGGGGACCACGTTTCCTCAGCTGAGCAAGGGGAGCCCTGAGGAGCTGGCGCTGGGAAGCCCCCTGGGGCAGAGGCAGCCGTACCGGAAAGTGCTCCCCGACCGCTCTCGGGCCGCCCGGGACCGGGCCAACCAGAAGCTGGTGGAGTACATCGTGAAGGCCAAGGGCGCAGAGAGCCACCTGCGGGCCATCCTGAAGAGCAGGAAGCCGTCGCGCTGGCTGCAGACCTTCCTGAGCTCCAGCCAGTACGTGACCTGCGTGGAGACCTACCTGGAGGACGAGGGACAGCTGGACCTGGTGGTGAAGTACCTGCAGGGCGTCTGCCAGGAGTTGGGCGCCAAGATGCTCCGGCGCACCAACGGGGACCGGATCCGCTTCATTCTGGACGTGCTTCTGCCCGAGGTAAGCCGCGGACACGGACGGGCCTGCGCCGGGACTGTCCAGAACGTGCCCAAGGTGGCGGCCACGGGGCTCGCCCCTGCCCCCTGGCTGTTCGGTGGCCGATGGAGCGGGAGGCCTTGTGTGCTTACGTCCCATTGGTGCTGGGAAGTGGGAGTGCCGTGCACCCGACCCCTGTGCACACACGGAACTGCTTAGATGCTGTTGGGGCCAGGGAGTGCGAAGCTCCCTCCCCACCGTGGGCGCACAGATGCCCCCCAGCCTCGGTGGGTCAGCCCTGGTGAACCCATGGGGAGTGGGAAATTCAGAATTGCATTTAGTACCCAGGTAAACCCGTTGGAATTTGAAAAATGAAATGTCGATAATACATTTAATACTCTGATAAACCCACGGTAAGTAAAAATACCAGAAATTTGTCTGTGATCTTGAACTTCTCCTGGGGATTTGGGGCTTGGGGAGGAGCAAATACAGATTGTTTGCAAGTTTGTATCTGAAATTTCAGAGAGGACACTGCTGGGCATACGTGTACATCTGTGGGAAAAAGTACTCAAAACTATTTAACTTTTTAATTATGGGAATTTTGAAATAGATACAAAAAGAAAATAGCATAATGAATTCTGATGTTCCATAACCTGCCTGGGATGAGTTTTTGGAGCATAGAAGACCTCAAGCATTTGTTTTAACCCATAAATACTTTAGTGCGTGTCTCTAAAAGGAGGTGACTGCCCCCTGGGGACACTGGCAGCGTCTGGTCACATTCGTGCTTGTCACAGCCTGGGGAGCTTCTGGCAGGGAGTGGGTCAGGGCAGGGACACCGCTTGACGACACCCTGCAGTGGTGACCAGGACTGCCCAGCCCAGAGAACGGCCCAGCCTCAGTGTCCACAGGGCCGAGCGGGAGAGACCCTGCTCTCAACCAGACGGACTGTGTTGAAATGGCTTTACCATAATCACAGTACCAAAAAATAGGACTGACTTTTTTTTTTTTTTTTTTTTGGAGACGGAGTTTTGCTCTTGTTACCCAGGCTGGAGTGCAATGGCGCGATCTCGGCTCACCGCAACCTCCGCCTCCTGGGTTCAGGCAATTCTCCTGCCTCAGCCTCCTGAGTAGCTCGGATTACAGGCATGTGCCACCATGCCCAGCTACTTTTTTGTATTTTTAGTAGAGACGGGGTTTCACCATATTGACCAGGATGGTCTCGATCTCTTGACCTCGTGATCCACCCGCCTCGGCCTCCCAAAGTGCTGGGATTACAGGCTTGAGCCACCGTGCCCGGCCAGGACTGACTTCTTAACATGTGGTAACATCTGGTAGTGTGGACTCGGCATACTCCTTTTTTTTTTTTTTTTTTAATACAATAAACTTAAAAATTTTCAGAAATGCACTTGGGGGTTTGGGTTTTGCCTTTTATTCTTGGCTTTTAGTGACCTGAGCTGTTGTTTCTAGTTCAAAAGAGAATACTGGTTTAATTACGAGACATCATTATGGGCTGGGCGTGGTGGCTCACGTCTGTAATCCCAGCACTTTGGGAGGCTGAGGTGGGCGGATCACAAGGCCAAGAGATTGAGACCAGCCTGGCCAACATGGTGAAACCCTGTCTCTACTAAAAACATAAAAATTAGCTGGGTATGATGGTACGCGCCTGTAGTCCCAGCTACTCAGGAGGCTGAGGTAAGAAAATTGCTTGGAACTTGGGAGGCAGAAGTTGCAGTGAGCCGAGATTGCACCAGCGCACTCCAGCCTGGGCAACAGAGCAAGACCCCGTTTGAAAAATAAAAGAGCCGGGCGCGGTGGCTCAAGCCTGTAATCCCAGCACTTTGGGAGGCCGAGGCGGGTGGATCACGAGGTCAAGAGATCGAGACCATCCTGGTCAACATGGTGAAACCCCGTCTCTACTAAAAATACAAAAATTAGCTGGGCATGGTGGCGTGTGCCTGTAATCCCAGCTACTCAGGAGGCTGAGGCAGGAGAATTGCCTGAACCCAGGAGGCGGAGGTTGCGGTGAGCCAAGATCGCACCATTGCACTCCAGCCTGGGTAACAAGAGCGAAAACTCCGTCTCAAGAAAAAAAAAAAAAAAAAAAAAAAGAAAAAGAAAAGAAACATCATTAGAAGCAGGTTCGTGGATGAGGTTCGCACCTTCTGAACCATGAGCTAGACCGTGTGTGGAGGCCAGAACCTGGTGCCCCGGGCTCACTGCAGCCTCCTCAGCTGCGCGCCTCCTGGGGCCTGATGGGCAGCGCCGACTGCTGCTGACCCCGTGCCCTCTCACAGGCCATCATCTGCGCGATCTCTGCGGTGGACGAGGTGGACTACAAGGCGGCCGAGGAGAAGTACATCAAGGGGCCCGTGCTGAGCTACCGGTAGGCTGCTCCCGGCGCTGTCTGCAGCCGCCCGTGTCTCTGCCGACAGGTTCTGCCTCCACGCCCATGGGCCGCTTGACTTGAGGCTGCTACAGCCCCTCTCCCTCGTTCGGTGGCCCGGGTGCTGGGTGGTGAGCTGATCACACAAGCTTGACGTGCCCTACGGGTCTCCCAGCTGGTCGCTGTGGGCAGCACGGGGCCACGGGCGCGTGCCTCGGCCGTGTCTGTTCTTAATCTCTTTTTGCAGGGGGCTGGTGTTTGCATTTGGAACTTTCCTCCCCAGTGTCTGCAGCGCCATGGCTGTGTGAGAAATACAGCGAGATTAAGCAGCAGCAGGGCCCGGCGTTTTCCAGCCAGAAGAATGCTGTGATCAAGATGTTTCTCTCACGTCCATGTGCTTAGCCGCCCTTGGGTATTTGGCCCCCAGAGTGCCTAATCCTGTCTCTGGGCACGCGGCCAGGCCTTGCTGGGAGCCAGGCGGGGCCCACGGGGCAGTGACAGGCTGAAGACTCAACTAGAGTCAAGGATGGGGTGTCCGGCCAGGGCGGCTCGCCCGGCCCACAGTCACACGGCACTTGTGAAGACGCTGAGCTCCCTCGCCAGCCCCGTGTCCTCCCTAGGCAGGGCAAGAGGGGCCACTGGGGAGGTCAGGAAGAAGGAGGTCTGGGGCCTCGGTGGTGTTGGCAGGCACCCCTACAGAGCCGTCCATAGGTGGGATTTGGCTTCATTTAGCGAGTGTTGGCCCAGCTGGCTTAACGAAACAGAAAAGGCCTTTGGAAACAGAAACTGGTGTTTGCCTGCTGGATCTCATGGGCCCAGCCTGTCAGGCTTAAGTAAGGTCCAGGCCACCCGTACCCAGCCTCAGGGCTTGTCCTCCCTCCATTTCAGAAGCCTCGTAACCCATCCTCTCCCTTCTGTGGCCATCTTCCATCCTCATTTTTGGGTTTTTTTTTGAGTCTGGATTGGCAACGTCAAAATCCGTTAGGAGTTCTTCCTGGCTTACGGTTACCATAAAAACCTTCAGCGAACTGGGAGAAATGGTGTTCGGTGCCGTGTTGAAGTGAATTCGGTTGAATACACAGGCTGTGCTTTTATCCCGCCAGGGACGTGGTTGAAATAACGCGAACAGTGAATGGTGTTGTGTCTGATCTTTGGCCTCAGTGGCAGCTCGGGTCACATGTTGGGTGTCCTGGGACCTAGTCCCCGGCCCCTGTGACACCTACCCGGCGTTTCCCAGGCCCTCATGTTGTTCCTTGAGAGTTGCTCCGTGAGCCAGTCTACACTCTTCCCGAGGCCGTCCTCGGGCGGCCCTTCGCCACCGCCGCAGCTGGCATGCTCCCGTTTCTGCCTCAGCTGGGGTGCGCGTCAGAGCCAGCAGCCCGTTTCTCTCTCTTCATCCAGGGCAGCCCCGTTCCTGAGAGGAGTTGCTAGCTAAGCAGTTGTTAACTTAATTTTCCTTTATAGGAGGTCACTTAATAAGGACAGCTTGGCATCTCATACTCTTTTATAAAGAATTATTTTTAAGCTGGGCGCGGTGGCTCAAGCCTGTAATCCCAGCACTTTGGGAGGCCGAGGCGGGCGGATCACGAGGTCAAGAGATCGAGACCATCCTGGTCAACATGGTGAAACCCCGTCTCTACTAAATATACAAAAAAAATCAGCTGGGCACGGTGGCGCGTGCCTGTAATCCCAGCTACTCGGGAGGCTGAGGCAGGAGAATTGCCTGAACCCAGGAGGCAAAAAAAAAGGTTAAATATACATATCATAAAAGTTACTATCTTTTTTTTTTTTTTTTGAGACGGAGTTTCGCTCTTGTTACCCAGGCTGGAGTGCAATGGTGCCATCTCGGCTCACCGCAACCTCCGCCTCCTGGGTTCAGGCAATTCTCCTGCCTCAGCCTCCCGAGTAGCTGGGATTACAGGCACGTGCCACCGTGCCCAGCTGATTTTTTTGTATATTTAGTAGAGACGGGGTTTCACCATGTTGACCAGGATGGTCTCGATCTCTTGACCTCGTGATCCGCCTGCCTCAGCCTCAAAAAGTGCTGGGATTACAGGCGTGAGCCACCGCGCCTGGCAAAAGTTACCATCTTAACCTCTTTAAGTGTACAGTTGGCGATAAGCATATTCACCCTGCTGTATGCAGCAGGCACAGCTGCCCATCTCAACTCATCTCTCCAGACTGAAGCTCCAGCCCTGTCAGACAACTGCCCTCTCGTGTACACACACGCACGTGCACAGACACACCCCCTGGCCCCGTGAGACAACTGCCCTCATACGTACACGCACACTCCAGCCCCATCAGCTGCCCTCTCATGTACACACACACAGAGAGAGAGATGGAGTCTTGCTCTATTGCCCAGGCTGGAGTGCAGTGGTGTGATCTCTACTCAACCTCTGTCTCCCGGGTTCAAGTGGTTCTGCTTCACCCTCGCTGAGTAGCTGGGACTGCAGGTGTGCACCACCATACCTAGATAGTTTTTGTATTTGTAGAGATGGGGTCTTGCTGTGTCCAGGCCAGTCTCAAACGCCTCCAGTGATCCTCCTGCCTTGGCCTCCCTTGGGATTAAAGGCGTGAGCCACTGCACCTGCCCCTACCTCATATATTTTTTTTTAACTTTTTTTTTTTTTTTTTTTGAGATGGAGTCTAGCTGTGTCACTAAGGCTGGAGTGTAGTAGTACAATCTTGGCTCACTGCAGCCTCTGCCTCGTAGGTTCAAGTGAGTGTCCTGCCTCAGCCTCCCCAGTAGCTGGGATTACAGGTTGCCCACCGCCACGCTTGGCTCATTTTTGTATTTTTAGTAGAGAAGAGGTTTCCACACGTTGGGCAGGCTGGGCTTGGACTCGACCTCGTGATCCACCTGCCTTGGCCTCCCATAGTGCTAGGATTACAGGCGTGAGCCGCTCACCTGGTCTCTTTCTCATCCTCTTTGACACACAGTGATTAACTGCTAAAATGAATATCTTGTTTTCTGAAGGGAAAAACAAATGTTTGACAATCAGCTCCTTGAAGAGCGGCGGCGGCGGCGATGAGGGAGCAGCTGGCTGTGCGTCCGCGGGGGCCTGGCGGAGGGAGCGCCTCCGACAGCGGGGCCTCGGGGAGCACGCTCGCTCGTGGAGCCGTCCGTGTTCTGCGTGGCCGTCCTGATTTCCACACTTCTGGAGAAGCCGTTTCGTCCACATTGAAAGCCAGTTTTCTTTGGCAATTTTTTCATTGTATTCTTGGCCCTTTTTTCGAGTTCCAGAGTTCCAGAAAGGTTTGGAAAGGACAGAAGCCTGTGGACAGTGCGTCAGAGCTTGCGGCCGGGCGGCGGTCTCGCCTGACGTGCGTGTCTGTCACGTGGGTTGCGTCTCATGTTAAATGGAAGGTTTTCAGCTGTGTGTGCTGTGAGCACGCCGCTTCGCAAGTGGGAACGGTCTTTCCAGTGTGCTTTCCACCCGCGCCGGTTCTGAGTGTGCTCTGCCGCTCAGCGCGCTGCGGCTCTCAGGAATGAGCCTTCGTGAGAGGTGGGAGTGCGCGTGGCCTCAGGAGGGGAGCAGGACGCATGCCTTTCCAGGGGCCTCCGCGCCGTGGTGAGTGGACTGCAGCGTGCGGCCGTGTGTCCTGGCTGCCGTCGGCCAGGCCGCCCCCCTCCCCTGCCTGCCTGGCCTCTTCTCGTGAGTGAATTTCCCCGCACTGTGTCGTCACCTCGTGGCCAGTCACCGAGGTTTTGGTCATCGGCCTGGATGGCTGTGCTGGGATCCCAGGGTGGCCGGCATCAGGGTCACTGTGGGAGCCCTGCGTGGTCCTGTGGCCGGCCATCACAGAAGCACAGCCTTTGTAGGGAAGCCCAACTGGGCTCCCGTCTGGAGAAACGGCTTCCAGGATGTGGCTCCCGGGTGGGTTCTGGTCCACAGCACGGAGCCGGGGCTGCGGGTTGTTGCTGTGACTCCACGGGGCTCAGCCAGGCTCCAGCAGGGTCGGAGATTCTGGTAAGGTCAAAGCCACAGGTGCTGAATTACTTGTTCTCAGCGGCTGCTCAGGGCGGCGCCTGGACCGCAGTGCTGGACCGCGAAGCTTCCAGGTTCCAGGGCCCGGCAGCCTGGGAGCTGTTCCTCCCCACTCATGGACGGCATCTGACCCTGGCTGGAGGCCTCGCTTTGGGGGCTGTGGACCCTCCTCCCTCAGGCCCTGCCCAGCTCCTGCAGCCACCAGCGAGCAGATGGGAACACGATTGTCTCTGGGACGTGCAAGGCGCTGAGCAAGACGAAGCTGCAAGGACACTCGGCACGTCCTCGCAACCTGGGAGGCGGCAGACGGCCGCTGCTCGGGAACTGTGATTCTACGCAAGTCCGGGAGCAGGAAACCCGGCCCTGGCCTGACAGTTGTGCCTGCACGCTGGAGTTTTGTCGTTTCTGAAGCAGAGGGGCAGACCTGCCCTGGCGCTCTGCTGGTCACTCTTTGGGGGACACAGGGCAGCCAGTGCCACCGCCCGTGGAGGGGGCTCAGCAGCATTGCATGTACAGGCCTCGGGCTGCCTCATGGAAAATCCCCACAGCCGCCCTCCGCGGTGGGTTCCCGAGGGTGCGGGAAGCGCGGGCCCGTGCCGAACTCTTCTGCTGTTGTGAAGTACTTTGATGCGTTTGTTTTTCTGCTGATATTGCCATGTTGTTTGAGGTGGAATTAAAACACTTCCCAGACCTCTGGCTTGTCTTTTCTGAGCCCCAGACGCGCCCCACAGCGTGGGCTGTACAAGCTTGGAAAACGAGAGAGCGACTCTTGCGTCCCCAGGGACATGGCCTTGACCCCGAGGTGAATTCTCGCCTCGCTAACGGTCCTAGGGGTGCTGCTTAAACAGCAGCTGGAGCACCTGAGGTCAGAAGTTCAAGAGCAGCCTAGCCAACATGGTGAAACCCACTCTCTACTAAAATGCAGAAGTTAGCCGGGCATGGTGGCAAGCACCAGTAAACCCGGCTACTCGGGTGGCTGAGGCAGGAGAATCGCTTGAACCCGGAAGACGGAGGTTGCAGTGAGTCAAGATCACATTACTGCACTCCAGCCTGGGCAGTAGAGTGAGACTCCGTCTCAAAAAATTCAGCAGCAGCTGGGGGCCTCACTGGGGTTCACGCCTGTGGCTCCAGCTACGTGGGAGGATTAGGTAGGAGGGTCACTTACTCAGAAGTCCAGGCTGCAGGTAGCTGAGATCACACCACTGCACTCCTGCCTGGGTGACGGCACCTGTCGGGGAAGGGATCCTTGCAGCAAAGCCACGCCCAGCAGGTGGAACCAGAACTGGTGTGTTCCCAGCTGCCCATCCCCACCCCACCCACGCGCTCTGCCCTTGCTGTCCTTTGGGGTCTGAGGGTGACAGGGCCACTGGGGCAGGACCTGCCTGGGTGCTTCCCTTAGTAATGGATCATGGGCGCTCCTGGTTGTCAGCCAGGCAGTCGGGAGGGAGTTGGTGGACTGACCTGACAAGCTTGGCCAGCGAGGAGCACTCCAGGGCTCTCAGGACGCCAGTGTGGGGGCTCCTGGGTGTTCTGGGGCTCTTAGGACACAGTGTGGGGGGTCCTAGGTGTGCCGGGGCTCTCAGGACGCCAGTGTGGGGGGTCCTGGGCTGGTCCTCTCCGCAGCATGACTGTCGGGACTCAACTGCTTCCAGAGTCCCAGGAAGGCATACTGGACCCCATGTGCACACGAGGGGAGACGCCAGGACCCGTTCTTGCAGGCGCCTGCACGTTCTGCCCGTCTCCTGACAGCTAGCTGACCCTGTGGCCCCCACCTGGGCCTGTCCCTGGGCACAGAGGACACTGGACCTGGGTCCTGCTGGGTGCTGAGCTCCATGCCAGGAGCTCCCGCCTCGGCTGTTGCGATGGCCTCAGATATCCGCAGACATGGCCTGGTGCCCCCTGGAAAACTGCTGTCCACACACACAGCCCTGCCCCAGGCCCCCGCCTCTTCCCTCTCTGGCTTGGTCTCAGAGTTAGGGTGCTTCTGCCAGATGCCTCCCTGCCCAGCCCACACTCCGCAACCTGCCACACCGAGCTGCAGAGACCCCTGCGTCCCTGCCAGTGCTTTTCCTGAAGCGGGTCTCACTTGTCTCCGCCCCGGCAGTGTGAGGGAATCGGGGTCCCCCTCACTGGCACAGCCGCACCTGTCTGACCACTTCCAGCAAGAAGGCCTTGGTGTCCCTGCGTGGTGCACCTCATCCACGTGGCAGGAATTCCAAACCACAGAAACCTCACTCGTGGCCCCGACGCCTGGTGCGTTTTCTATTTTGCTGTGTTATTTATTTATTTATTTTGAGACGGTCTGGCCCTGTCGCCCAGGCTGGAGAGCCGTGGTGCAAACGCGGCTCACTGCAGCCTTGACCTCCCAGCCTCAAGCGATCCTCCCACCTCAGCCTCCCAGGGAGCTGGGACCACAGGTGTGCACCACCACGCACGGCTGATTTTTGTGTTTTTTACAGAGATGGGGCCTTGCTCTGTTTCCCAGGCAAAATGATCCTCCCACCTTGACCTCCAAAGTGCTGGGACGACAGGTGTGAGCCACCACGCCCGGCCTGCCTCCCTCCCCATGCCAGCCTCACGCCCATCCTCGCCTTCCCCACTCCCACTCTCACCCAGCTCTGGACCCTTCCCCTCTTGCTGGCCCCAGCTGTTTCTGGCACCGCCACCTGCCCTCTGCTCACATCCTGCCCCTGCCCCATGAAGCCGTTCCTCCATGTTCCCCGTCTCAAGGGTGTCCTCCAGGGCCCCGAGTTCCTGAACGTGATTCCTCTCCTCCCCACCCACCTCACTCTTCTGTCCACTCAGCCCATCCATCAGACCCCTGAGCCACAGAACGCCACCTCAAAACCTGGAAGCTGGAAGCATTCTTCACAGAGTGTCTGTGGGTCAGAGATCAGAGCAGCCCAGCCAGGGGCTTCCGGGGTAGCTCGTGGGGCTGCAGTCCAGACGCTGCTGGGGTCCACGTCATCCAAAGGCTCAAACGGGGCTGAGGGTCCAAGGAGCCTCACTTGGCACAAGGCATGGGTGAGGTCTTGGTTCTCCTGCACATGGGTCAAGCCACCTGAGAGCCCACCCTCTGTAATGGCCAGCCCGTCTGTGAGTCAGCGGCCCAGGAGCCCCAGCAGCCACACGTTATCATCACCATCCTGTAGGTCACACAGAGCAGCCCCTGTTGAACAGGAAGACCCCACAGGGGCTGGGCACGGTGGCTCACGCCTATAATCCCAAAACTCTAGGAGGCCGAGGCAGGCGGATCACCTGAGGTCAGGAGTTTGAGACCAACCTGGCCAACACAGTGAAACTCCACTTCTACTAAAAGTACAAAAATTAGTTGGGCATGGTGGTGAGCACCTGTAATCTCAGCTACTCGGGAATATGAGGCCGAAGAATCCCTTGAACCTGGTGGAGGTTGTAGAAGGCTGAGATTGCATCATTGCACTCCACCCCGTGGAACAGAGCGAGACTCCATCTCAAAAAACAAAAAAAAACCCAAAAAACAACAACAACAACAACAAAAAAAACCATAGGAAGGCAAGAAGCCTGAACAGCAGGGGCCCTGTCCTCCCAGCAGCCCCAGGACTATCCCCCTTGGCCCCCACTGAGCTCAGCTGCAGTCCCCATCCCAGACCCCACCACCAGCATTAAAGCAAACGGCCAACAGAATCCCTCGGGCTGACTTCACTGTTCCTCCCGGGAGGAGTCCAGGGCAGCTAACACATGACCCCGGCTGGCACACGGGACAGGGAGGCATTCTGCCGTCACAAGCAAAACCCCCAATGAGCAATGTTGCACAGCAAGTCCTGCCTCAGAACCGTGCAGGAGGGCGTCAGAAACGGGACCACCTGAGAAACAGCCACAGTCCCAGGAGCCAAGGAAATGCCATGCCTGATGCCATGTGGGGTCCCTGATGAAGCCCTGGGTCAAGAAAGGACATGAGAGGAAACCCAGGAAACTTGGGTAGAGTGTAGACTGGTCGGGAAGAGTATATCCTGACAACTGTATCACACAAGAACTGGGCAATGGGGTACTCAGACAATCTAAGTTATTCTAAAAATATTTACATAAATTTTAAATCCAAATTATGGCCAGGCGTGGTGCCTCACGTCTGTACTCTCAGCGCTTTGGGAGGCTGAGGCAGGCAGGTGTATCAGCTGAGATCAGGAGTTCGAGACCAGCTTGGCTAACATAGTAAAACACTGTCTCTACAGAAAATGCAAAAATGAGTCGTGCAGGGTGGCCCACGCCGGTAATCCCAGCTACTCAGGAGGCTGAGGCAGGGGGATTGACTGAACCTGGGAGGCGGAGGTTGCGGTGAGCTGAGATCGCGCCATTGCACTCCAGGCTGTGTGTCAGAGCAAGACTCCAACTCAAATAAATAAGGCTGGGCTCGGTGGCTCACGCCTTAATCCAAGCACTTTGGAGGCCAAGGCGGGCGGATCACCTGAGGTCCGGAGTTCAAGACCAGCCTGACCAACATGGTGAAACCCCGTCTTTAAAAAAATAATAAGGCCGGGCGCGGTGGCTCACACCTGTAATCCCAGCACTTTGGGAGGCCGAGGCGGGTGGATCACGAGGTCAGGAGATCGAGACCATCCTGGTCAACATGGTGAAACCCCGTCTCTACTAAAAATACAAAAAATTAGCTGGGCATGGTGGCGCGTGCCTGTAATCCCAGCTACTCGGGAGGCTGAGGCAGGAGAATTGCCTGAACCCAGGAGGCGGAGGTTGCAGTGAGCCGAGATGATGCCATTGCACTCCAGCCTGGGTAAGAAGAGCGAAACTCTGTCTCAAAAATAATAATAATAATAAAAATAAGTAAATAAATAACCAAAACCCACGGCATTGGCAGCTGTAAGAACCGTAGAAGGAAGAGGGTTTTGTGCACCTGCCAGCCCCTTAGTTTCCTGTCAGTATTTCCTGTCGGCTTTTCCTCCAAGTCTTTATTTATTTATTTGCTTATTTATTTACAGAGTTGGGGGTCTTGCTATGTGGCGCAGACTGGTCTCAAACTCCTGGCCTCAAGTGTTTCTCCTGTCTCGCCTCCTAAAGTGCTGGGGTTACAGGAGTGAGCCGCCCTCCTGGACCCCTCCAAGTCTTCTGAGTTGGCTAAGAACAGAGACCAGGCTTGGTTTCGCTCAGCAGGGAGCTCCCAGTCCACGCATGAATTCAGCAAACACCCACCGTGCAGGGCTTTACTCACGCACGTCAGTTCTTGAGATGCCAGCCTTGCTCCTCATCTGTGTTCGCCTTATTTGTACCTCTGTTTTCTCTTCTTTTTTTATTTTATTGAGATGGAGTCTCCCTGTGTCGCCCAGGCTGTAGTGCAGTGGTGTGATCTCAGCTCACTGCAACCGCCACCTCCCAGGTTAAGTGATTCTCCTGCCTCAGCCTCCCAAGTAGCTGAAACTACAGGTGCCCGCGCCCACACCCAGCTAATTTTTTTTGTGTGTGTATTTTTTCTTTTTAGTAGAGATGGGGTTTCACCACGTTGGCCAGGTTGATCTCCAACTCCTGACCTCAGGTGGTCTGCTGGCCTCGGCCTTCCAAAATGTTGAAATTACAGACCTCAGCCACTGAGTCCAGCAGCCTTCTCTTCTGTTTTCTTTCTTTTTCCTTTCCTTTTTTTTTTTTTTTTTTTCCAGATAGAGTCTTGCTCTGTTGCCCAGGCCGTAGTGCAATGGTGCCATCTCAGCTCACTGCAGCTTCTGCCTCCCAGGTTCAAGCAATTCTCTCTGCCTGAGCCTCCTGAGTAGCTGAGATTAAAGGCGCCCACCACCAAGTGCAGCTAATTTTGGCATTTTTAATACACCTTGGGGTTTTGCCTTCTTGCCCAGGCTGGTCTTGAACTCCTGATGTCAGGTGATCCACCCACCTGGACTATCAAAGTGTTGGGATTACAGGTGTGAGCCACTGAGCCCCGCCATGCCTCTCTCTCTTAATCATAAAATGGGCAGAACAAACCTCCAGTGGAATTGTGAAAATCAAACGATATGCATGCAGAGATCGTTCTGCAAACTATGTTTTGCTACTTTGGGCGTTTAGTGTTTTTATAATTAGTACTTTTTCTAAACTTACCAATTTAAACAAGATGGAAAATCGAGGGATTGCCGGGGGAAGTTTGAGCTGGAATCATAACGTCTTCGGGGTGGGGAAGAGGAGGGTTTGGGGTTCTTAGGTCTGAGCCCTCCTTCCTTGGGATGAGCTCATGTCCTGACTGTTCCTCTGCAGAATGGAGTCATGTTCCGGAAAGGGGTTCAGGAGAGGTGCGAGGCAGCCGGAGCAGTCCTGAGCAAAAGCCACCAGTGATTCCCATGGTTGCTAAAACCTTTGCCGAAACCCGGGATCGAACCAGGGACCTTTAGATCTTCAGTCTAACGCTCTCCCAACTGAGCTATTTCGGCTGGGCAGCCGGGGTCGCTCTCGCCGGGACTCCGTTCCGCGCCCCGCCATTCCCGCGCAGGCGCAGCTCGCATCGCGTCAGCAGGCCGGATGTGCTTCAGAAGGTCTTCCCGGGCACCTGCGCGCAGCGCTGTCTCTGTGGCGCAATCGGTTAGCGCGTTCGGCTGTTAACCGAAAGGTTGGTGGTTCGAGCCCACCCAGGGACGCGCAGGAATCGGTTTTTTTCCTCCAGGAATAACAAGAAAATTAATGCCGTTGACAACAGTTTTGAGTCAGAAAATAAAGGCAAAAAGAGAAAATGGATGTCGCCTCTGTTTTTGTCGACCCGCGGCCACCACCCGCGAGTTCTGACAGCCTTCTTTCCGCCTTGGGTGATCTGCGGTCGCACGAGGGGCCGAAAGCGCGGCGGAACCACCCTGCTCCTGGTTCCGGTTTCCGCACGCGCTCCGAGCTTCTTTGGGCGACGGCCCCGGGCATCCGGAGCGCTAAAGAGGACGGACCGCAGAGGTTGTCTGAAGGCCGAGGCCAAGATGGCGGCGCTGTCAGGTGAGCATGGCGCCGGCGGCGGGTGTCCGGGCGCGCGCGCGGGTCTAGGGCCGGGGGAGCCTCAGGGGCGGTGGTGGCGTCGGGGGTCGGGGCCGGCGTCGTGGTCGCGGTCCGCTCCGGGCTTCTCCGAGCCGGCCGCTCCTCGGGCTCCAGGCCGGCCTGCGATGAACGGTCTCCGTTATTGCGTCCAGGGTGCCGTCGGGGAAACTGAGGCCCGGCAAGTAATGACGCCGGCGGCCAGCCTCAGGAGGGCGCTCGGGGCGGAGGCTGGAGGGGCCCCGCACCCAAGAGGCTGCCCTTGAGACGCCCCGGAGTGAGCGGGGCCTGACAGGTTGGGAAACTGAGGCCCGTTGAGGGTCCGAGACTCCTCGAGGTCACAGGGCCGGGCCTGGGCACGGACAGCACCCAGGGCATCCACGCACCCTGCCAGACCCTCTACCTCTCTCCCTTACCCTGGGAGGTAAGGAAGGGCCTGTCGCAGAGCGGGTCTCAGCCTGGGATCAGCTGAAGCCTGCGGATCCCTGCCCGGATAAAGTTATTAAATGCATGGAATAAAATCTATAGAATTGCAAGGAGATCAGTTACACCGAGAGGCAGTTACCAAAAGATTGTCTAGAAACCTGATTGGCCGCTTAGTCACCTGAGCGCTTCCCTTATGAACGCGATCTAGCGGCAGGTCTAATGACGACCGCGGTTTTGAAGGAGTGAGGGTTGGAAATGAGGCTTTGAGGTAGGAAGGGTCTTCAGCCCCTGTACCGTGGCTAGGAAACATCTGTGGTTTCTCTCGGTGAAAAGCTACAGGTCCCGCTAATACTGCCATATTTTGTTGTCTATGCTAAGGATTTTTTTTTATTGTATTTATACGTTTATTTATGGAGAGAGGGTCTGGTTCTGTCGCTCAGGCTGGATTGCTGTGGTGCGATCTTGGCTCATCACTGCAACCTCTGCCTCCCAGGCTCAAGGTATCCTGGCGCCTCAGTCTCCTGTGTAGCTGGCACCGCAGGTGTGCACCACTACGCCTGGCTGATTTTTAGCAGAGGTGGGGGTCTTGCCATGTTGCTCAGGCTGCTCTCAAACTTGCGAACTCGGGCAATCCTCCTGCCTCAGAGCCTCCCAAAGTGCTGGGATTACAGGCGTGAGTGTGAGCTGAAGCACCTGGCCTACACTATGAATTGAACGAAGGGCTAATTTTCCGTAAGATGCCGGTGACGACAAAGACATATATATATTTTTTTCCTAATCCTTGCAAGCTTATGGTTCTGAATCCTCACTAGGCCCCTTGTTAAGAATGCCTGGCCCAGGACGGGCATGTGGCTCACACCTGTAATCACAACACTTTGGGAGGTCGAGGCAGGTGGATCACAAGGTCAGGAGATTGATATCATCCTGGCTGACACAATGAAACCCCATCTCTAGTAAAAATAGAATTAAGTGTTACAGCTGTTTAGAATTTGTCAAGCAGGCTTTCCAGTTTTTGCCGGAAAGCCCCTAAAATAAAAAAAAAAATTTAAATTAAAAATAAAAAAGAATTAGCTGGACATGGTGGTGTGTAACTGTAGTTGCAGCTACTTAGAAGGTTGAGGTTGCAGTGAGCAGAGATTGTGCCACAGCAACCCAGCCTGGGCAACAAAGTGAGATTCCGTCTCAGAAAATTAAATAAAATAAAAAATAAGAGTGCCTGGCCCAGGGGCCTAGAATTTTTCATCACCTCAGAGGTGCTCAGAAGAGCATTTCCTCTGCTAGGCGCTTATCCAGAGTCCTAAATTTTCAGCTTGGGAAACTGATGCCCAGAGAGGAGCAGCTCCTGCCAGAGCCTGGGGCTGGGCAGTTAGCCTGCCTGCTGTGCCCAGCCTCACGCGGCATGCCAAGAAGTAGGTTCACGGGCTCATGTCCTTCAGAGGGTTGTGACCTGCACAGGGCCACGGGAAACAGCAACCCTGGATGAGACCAAGGCTGGGGCGAGGGAGGGGCTCAGAGGCGGGAGAAGTCCCTGTGGACCGCTGCATTCAGGGGCGTCAAACCCTGGCCCTGGCCCCTGGAGACTGCACAGAGCCTCTTCATAGGGCCTCAGCCTGCATCTGCTGGAGTCACAGCAACAAAGTGTCATCAACTGGGCACCTTTAACACAGCAGACGTTCTCACAGTTCTGGGGGCTGGGAGGCCAAGATCGGAGGCCAGCACGGTTGGTTCCTGTTGAGGCCTCTGTCCTTGGCCTCCACGTGGCCATCTGCTCCCTGCGCCTTCCCCCCGTACATGTTTGTGTCCCGATAGCCTCTTCTTCCAAGGAAATGAGTCATATTGGATGGGGGCCCACCCTCATGACCTCATTGTATCTTAATGACCCCTTTATTTTATTTTTTGAGATCCAGTCTCCCTCTGTCGCCCAGGCTCGAGTGCAGTGATGGGATCTCGCCTCACTGCAACCTCTACCTCCCGGGTTCAAGTGATTCTCCTGCCTCAGCTTCTGAGTAGTTGGGATTACAGGCGCCTGCCAGTACACCCAGCTAATTTTTTTTTTTTTTTTTTTTTGAGGAGTTTCGATCTTGATACCCAGGCTGGAGTGCAATGGCGCGATCTCGGCTCACCACAACCTCTGTCTCCTGGGTTCAGACGATTCTCCTGCCTCAGCCTCCTGAGTAGCTGGGATTACAGGCAAGCGCCACCATGCCCAGCTAATTTTTTGTGTTTTTAGTAGAGACGGGGTTTCACCATGTTGACCAGGATGGTCTCGATCTCTTGACCTCGTGATCGATCCACCCGCCTCGGCCTCCCAAAGTGCTGGGATTACAGGCGTGAGCCATCGTGCCCAGCTGCTAATTTTTGTATTATAAGTAGAGATGGGATTTCACTATGTTGGCCAGGCTGGTCTTGAACTCCCTACCTCAGGTGATCCGCCTGCCTCGGCCTCCCAAAGTGCTGGGATTACAGGCGTGAGCCACTGCACTCGGCCATGAATGACCCCTTTAAAGACCCCATCTCCAAAAACAGTCACATTCTGAGGTCCTAGGGTTAGAGCTTCAGATGTCAGGGGGGTGGAGGGACACAGTTGAGCTGTCACCAGCACCGAGCCTGCACCTCTGGCTTCTTCCTCGAACCTGCAGGCATTTCCTCCCCGAGTACCCCTAGGTCTGGCCAGGCCCTCTCCTGCCTCAGCCTTCGCCCCGGGAAGGTTCCTCAGGAGCCTTGAAGCAGGCGCATTCCCTCCTCTGTGCTTCCTTTGCGGCCGACTCCTCTAGGGGCACTTTGCTATGTAGGTTGACGTGGACAGCGCCTTCCCTGCTTAGCCCACTGCAGATTCCTGGAGCATGGGGCCTCTGCTCAACTGCGTGGGAAACCCACGAGCACCAGCCAGGGTCTGGAGCACCCAGCACAGGCTTGTCAGGCACAGCTGAGGCCAGGACTGAGTAGTGGGTTCCCAGGTAGGCCCTGGCATCGCTGGGGTGGCAGGCATTTCACAAACGCACACAGATGGAGATAGAACTGGGTGCCGGGGGCCGGGCGCGGTGGCTCAAGCCTGTAATCCCAGCACTTTGGGAGGCCGAGGCGGGTGGATCATAAGGTCGAGAGATCGAGACCAACCTGGTCAACATGGTGAAACCCCGCCTCTACTAAACATACAAAAAATTAGCTGGGCATGGTGCCGCGTGCCTATAATCCCAGCTACTCAGGAGGCTGAGGCAGGAGAATTGCCTGAACCCAGGAGGCGGAGGTTGCGGTGAGCCGAGATCGTGCCATTGCACTCCAGCCTGGGTAAAAAGAGTGAAACTCCGTCTCAGAAAAAAAAAAAAAAAAGAACTGGGTGCCGGGAACCAGAGGGCCTGGGGGGCTGGCGCAGATGGGACGCCCCATGCATCTGAGCTGACCTGCCTCATGAGAAGGGGCCAGTGGTGTGCAAGTGTGGGGCAGGGTGTCCCCTGCAGGGGAGCAGCCAGTGCGGAGGCCTTGGGGCGGGAAAGCAGCAAGCACGGGGGAAGATCGCTGGGGCGGGGAGGTGGGGCGAAGTTCGGGTTCCCTTCTGGGCCATGGGGTCTTAAGTAGGGGAGCAAGACGCGCTCATATTCTGAAAAACCCCTCGTTACCTAACATTTGTTAAGTGGCACTTGAGGAGGGTTCAGAGCTGGGCCATGCGGGCAGGAGCCTGATGGGGAAGCGCCTGGAGGCCGGCCCCTGCGGCCCATTCAGGGGCCCTTGAGTTGGTGGCCACTAGTGCTTCTCCATGGCTCACCGTCCCCACCCTGTGGTCCTCTCTGCAGCTCCTGGCCTGCGAGGCTTCTGGATCCTTGGTCTGCGGTGAGTGCCTGAGTCTGCAGCCCTGAGCTGGGGGGGCCTTGAGCAGCACCAGATGAGGGGAGCCCCTTGTTGAAGGTCACGTGGTGTGTTACGGACAGGATGCGGTTGGCGGTCTGCGTACTGTGCATGACATGCCGGGGCCCTCCCTGGGACAGTCCATGCAGTGGCAAAGGGTGGACAGTTAGGAGCAACCCTGTGGGCCCAGCTCTGTGCCATCAGAGACCCCCGCTGCCTGTGGCAGGAAGGCATTCCGTGAGCCCTGTGCAGATGGCAGCCATAGGCAGGCCTCCTGGAGACCCAGGCAACGGGCAGGCCGGTGAGGGCACATGCCCAGATATCTGACCTTGGTCACACATGGAGAGACTAGTCCCACTTTCCTTCTGTGGATGCCCCTAGAACCGTCCTTGCTTGGACACTGCCACTGAGCGGCCTCTTGACTTGCTGGGTACATCTCAAAAGAAACTCCATTGAAGTCTGGGCCATTGCTGGGGCGTGGGAGCTCACACCTGCAATCCCAGCCCTTTGGGAGGTCAGAGCGGGCGGATCACGAGATCAGGAGTTCAAGACCAGTGTGGCCAACATGGTGAAACGCTGTCTCTACTAAAAATACAACAATTAACTGGGCATGGTAACATGCGCCTGTAATCCCAGCTACTCAGGAGGCTGAGGCAGGAGAATTGCTTGAACCTGGGAGGTGGAGGTTGCACTCCAACCTGGGTGACAGAGTGAGACTCGTCTAAAAAAAAAAAGTCTGGGCCATCATCAGGGTCCGGGTGATGGCCACACCGCCCTAAGGCTCTGACCAGTGGCCCAAAGTGCTGGCAGGCAGAGGTGAGGGCAGTCCCACAGCAGGGAGGGGAGAGGAAGGACAGCAGTGAGTGTGACTGGGATGGCCACCGACCCACACTCCATCTCCTGGCAGCTCCAGCGTGGGTGCAGCTGTGCAGGCACGAGGTGTCCATCAGACCGTGGCTACCAATGGGCCGAGCAGGTAAGGCCGACCTTCTGGGGGAGGCTGTACCCCCTGCCCCGCCCCCACATCCCCCTCCGTTTCTGCATCTGTGCTGCAGCCACCAGTGTCTCCAGGGACCTTCTGGGCCTGGGTGGGGTGGGAAGGGGGTCGCATAATCCCAGTCCCTGACCTTTTGTGGGTCCAGGCCTCTGGTGGTGGCTGGGGGGCTGGCATCCACTGCTGGGAAGTGCCTGTGTGGCTGACGCCTCCTGTGCCCGTGTGTCTCTGTGCCAGCACCCAGCCCGCCCTGCCGAAGCCCAGAGCCGTGGCTCCCAAACCCAGCAGCCGGGGGGAGTATGTGGTGGCCAAGCTGGATGACCTCGTCAATTGGGCCCGCAGGGTGAGTCTACTGTGAGCCGCAGGCCCTCCTCTAGTGCCAGGGCCTCTCTGCATACACTCAACATGCACACGCAGACAGCACAATCACAGACACATATGCACACACACACGTACAAACATGTACATGGAGTAATGCATGCATGCACACACGTGCACAGAAGCTCACATGTATGCACAGGCATTTGTACATGCACACGTACACAGCACACATGTACTCAGTACACGCACACATGGGCATGCACACATGGATACATACACACTCATGCTCATGCACACATGCACATACTACACACACGGACACGTCCACAAATATGCACACGCACACATGCACAGTACACATACACGGACACGGACACACATTCACACGTGCACACGTGCACACACATGCACGCACAGTACACATGTACACACATTCACACATATACATGTGCACATGCACACTAGACACGTGTGCACGCACACACACACGCACGGTACATGCAAACATGGATACATACATTCATACTCATGCACACATGCATGCACACACACATGCACACGCATGGTACACACACAGATATGTACACATTCACACTCATGCCCACGCACACATACACAAGGACATATGTACACATTCACACTCATTCACACGTGCACATACATGTGTACATGCACACTTGACACATACACATGGACATATGGATACGTACACACATTCACACTCATGCACACATGCACACGCATGCACACACACAGTACACAGACATGTACATTCGTACTCATGCACACGTCCACATACACATTCGCACATGCACATGCATGTACATACGCACACTCGTGGACGCACATGTACATGCATGCACTCATGCACATGTGCACACATGCATGTTCACGGGCACACACATGGATGCATACACACACAGGCACACTCGCCCCTCTGACCGTGGAGCAGGCTGGACCCTCCCAGAGGGCCCCCGTGCTGGCCTGGTGGCCTGTGGTTCCTCCTGAGGATCCGCCCAAACCCTAGCCCTGGCGGCCATCCTGGAGTCCCGCTCACTGGCTCTGTCCCTGGTGCCACCTTGGGCCCTGCTTGAAATGACCCCATCCCTTTTTGTCCTTCTCTGTCTGGCTTCTCTGTGTTCCTCTTGTTTCTCTTTTAAGTTAAAAGAAGCACATGTGAAGGCGGTAGGTCCTTCTCAGTACTGATCTAAAGCCTCTCCGGCCTGTGGCACCAGCCCCTGCCAGCCCCCGCCACCCCCACTCCCCAGCGTGCGCACGTGCCACTCCCTCCAGCGCCTGCGGCACTCGGCTGCGACGGCCCGGGTTCAACAGTGCCCCATTGACAGACAGGCACTGCTTCCTTTTGTTTCTTGTTTCCTAAACAATGCCATGGTGAATGTCCTGCCGGGCCGCCGGCAGCCACAGCAGCCGAAACAGAGATGCCCGCTGGAGGATAGTTTCTAATGGAGGAAACCTGAGAAACGGCCAGGGGCTGGTCCACCACAGGCTCCGGGCAGGCCGGTGGGGTTGGCTGTTTCTGCCCAGGCAGCCCTGCCTGGCTCTATAGCCTGGCCCTGTCACCTGCCAACACATCTGTGGGGACAGCAGGGGCCCCTGCGAGGTGTTGGAGCCATGTGCAGGGGGAGCAGGAACCATTGGGAAAATGAGAAGCCACGTGGATGCAGGAGAGGGGAGGGAGTGGCCAAGCAGATCTGGGAGGGCTTCCTGGAGGCGTGGGCACTTAGTGTGCGGACCCAGATCTAGTTAACCCAGGGAGTTCTGGGGTTAGACCTGCACGGCTACTGGCTCAGAGAGTGGCTGGAGCCCGTGTGCAAGTGGTGGGACTTGGGGTACACTGGGTTCGGGGAGCTGCGTGATGAGGACAGATCTCACCTGCTTGTTTATTTTATTTAAACGTGGCTGGCGGGGCTCAATTTGCGCTTCTCTTGGGACCTGGTGGCCATCTGCGGGGACTCCTGTGCCTCTAGCCTCTGCCCTGGACGTGAGCCTGGGTGCTCCACGTGGAGGCTTGTGGTGGGCCACACGGGGCACCGTTGGCAGGGTCTGACCTGATCCTGGCCTCTGCAGAGCTCCCTGTGGCCCATGACCTTTGGCCTGGCCTGCTGCGCCGTGGAGATGATGCACATGGCCGCACCCCGCTATGACATGGACCGCTTCGGCGTGGTCTTCCGCGCCAGCCCGCGCCAGTCCGACGTGATGATCGTGGCCTGGCACACTCACCAACAAGATGGCCCCGGCGCTCCGCAAGGTAGGCCTGGGGGCCCGCTGCCCTGGAGTGAGCTGCGCACAGACTCCGCCTCTTTTCCGTCTCTACCCGGTCCCCGCCGCGTCCCAGTGAGCTGCACACAGACCCCACCTCTCTTCCAGGTCTACGACCAGATGCCCGAGCCACGCTACGTGGTGTCCATGGGGAGGTGAGTGTAGAAAGGGACGTCTCAGGGGTGGACATGGCGTGAGTGCTGGCCTGGCTGTGTCATTTATATTCAGGGAAATCCCACATGGTCCAGGTGCTGCCCTTCAGCCCTCTGGGTGCCTCCACCCCACACAGATGTGCTAGTGGTCCTCTTCCCAAAAGCTTCCTTCTATCCACCCCCAGCAGGAGACCCCACGTTCTGCCCGGTTCTCTGCTTTCCCCACAGAATAATCTCAGCTTTCTAACTTGTCAGCATTGTAAAAACAATTTTTTTTGAGACAGAGTCTTGCTCTTGTCACCCAGGCTGGAGTGCAGTGGAATGATCTCGGCTCACTGCAACCTCCGCCTCCCGGGTTCAAGGAATTCTTCTGCCTCAGCCTCCCAAGTAGCTGGCATTACAGGCCCCTGCCACCACACTCAGCTAATTTTTGGATTTTCAGTAGAGGACGGGGTTTCAGCATGTTGGCCAGGCTGGTCTGGAACTCCTGACCTCAGGTGATCTGCCCATTTCCGCCTCCCAAAGTGCTGGGATTACAGATGTCAGCCACCACACCTGGCCTTGCCATCATTTTTGGTCATTTCCCATAACATTAAAAGGTATTTAATCTCAGACCGGGCGCGGTGGCTCAAGCCTGTAATCCCAGCACTTTGGGAGGCCGAAGCGGGTGGATCACAAGGTCAAGAGATCGAGACCATCCTGGTCAACATGGTGAAACCCCGTCTCTACTAAAAATACAAAAAATCAGCTGGGCATGGTGGTGTGTGCCTGTAATCCCAGCTACTCAGGAGGCTGAGGCAGGAGAATTGCCTGAACCCAGGAGGTGGAGGTTGCGGTGAGCCGAGATCGCGCCATTGCACTCCAGCCTGGGTAACAAGAGCGAAACTCCGTCTCAAAAAAAACAAAAAACAAAAAACAAAAAAGGTATTTAATCCCTTGACATTTAAAAATATTTATCATGTTTATTCTTTAGAGACAGAATGTCACTGAGTTGCCCAGGCTGGAGTGCAGCGGTACAGTCATAGCTCACTGCAGCCTCGAACTCCTGGGCTCCCCCGATACCCCAGCCTTAGCCTTACGAAGTGCTGGGGTTACAGATGTGCTCCACTGTGCCTAAGTTTTAGAATTTTTGTAGAGGCCAGGCGTGGTGGCTCACGCCTGTAATTCCAGCACTTTGGGAGGCCAAGGTGGGTAGGTCACCTGAGATCAGGAGTTCAAGACCAGCCTGGCCATCACGGTGAAACCTCATCTTTAAAAATAAATAAATAAATAAATAAATAAATAAATAAATAAATAAATAAATAAATAAATTTTTGTAGAAATTGAGTCTTGCTAAGTTTACCTTTTTTTTTTTTTTTTTTTTTTTGAGACGGCTTTTCGCTCTTGTTACCCAGGCTGGAGTGCAATGGCACGATCCTGGCTCACCGCAACCTCCGCCTCCTGGGTTCAGGCAATTCTCCTGCCTCAGCCTCCTGAGTAGCTGGGATTACAGGCATGTACCACCATGCCCAGCTAATTTTTTGTATTTTTAGTAGAGACGGGGTTTCACCATGTTGACCAGGATGGTCTCGATCTCTTGACCTCGTGAGCCACCCACCTCAGCCTCCCAAAGTGCTCGGATTACAGGCTTGAGCCACCGTGCCCAGCCAAGTTTACCCTTTTAAAGTGAACAGTTCAGTGGTTTTTAGTTATGGTCACAGAGTTATGTAGCTACCACCTCTAATTCCAGAACATTCTTATCACCCCCAAAGGAAACCCTGTCCCCATCAGCAGTCACTTTGCATCCCCTGCATACCTCTTTGGGTGGGCCTGTCCTGCACATTTCATAGGAACAGGGTCACACGCTGCGTGGCCTTCTGTGTCTGGCGTCTCACTGAGACATCCTCAAGGTGCCTGCACGCTGTGGCCTGTGTCTGAGCCTCACCCCTTTTCTTGGCTGAACACTATCCGCCTGAGTGGACATATTGCTAACCTAATTCTAAACAGAGAATTAGAATATTCCAGAGTTAGGCTGGTTGCGGTGGCTCACGCCTGTCATCCCAATACTTTGGGAGGCCGAGGTAGGTGGATCACGAGGTCAGGAGTTCGAGACCAACCTGACCAACATGGTGAAATCCCGTCTCTACTTAAAATACAAAAATCAGCTGGGCGTGGTGGTGCGTGCCTGTAGTCCCAACTACTCAGGAGGCTGAGGCAGGAGACTTGCCGAAACCCGGGACGCAGCGGTTGCAGTGAGCCAGATGGCACCACCGCACTCCAGGCTGGGCGACAGCCCAGAATATTCCGGAGTTTTCATAACCATCCCCCACTGCTGGCACTCGGGCTGTGTCCATTTTTACCGCTGTGAGAAGCAGGCTGGGAGTGGAGGCTGTGTGGTCACCTGGGGTTTCCCATTACCTGTCCCAGGTGGACCCCAGCACCCACTGACAGAGCCGGGACGGGCGAGGCCCAGCGTGGGGCCCAGCCGCCCCGTAGACAGGTGCCGAGTGTTGGCAGCGTGGCCGTTTGAAGGAGCTTTTTGTTGACACGTGCGATCTGACAGTTCCCAGCGCGGGAATCCATGGTCAGGAGCCCCTTGGGAGGGGAGCACGTTTTCCCGAACTGTCAACCACGCGTGTGCTTGGCTCCGCCATCCAGGAGCCTGTGCGTGTTTGCTCCTCGCTTCTCTGTGACAAGTTCCAGCCTCGTCAGTAGCCGGGCCTGGCCTGCAGTGGAAGGCGGGTGGGGATGTGGCAAACGTCTTGAGGACGGAGGGTGGGCAGGGCGGGTCCTCGGCCCGCTCCCCTCACGGCGCCTCCCCCACAGCTGTGCCAACGGCGGCGGCTACTACCACTACTCCTACTCGGTTGTGAGGGGCTGTGACCGCATCGTGCCCGTGGACATCTACGTCCCAGGTAGGGCTGGGGCCGCGCCGCCCACGAGGGAGCAGGGGACAGGCAGGCGCCGTGCAGAACCCGGCTGCGCCTGTGAGGGAGCCCCACGCCCCAGCAGACGGGGCGGGCTCCTGCATCCGACAGCTGAGACGACCCGGGGCTCTCCCTCTTCGCGGAGCGCGTCCCCGATAAGTCTGCAGTGTGTTCAGGCATCAGAGGGAGCCGAGGGAGCAGTGGAAGCCATCAGAATTCCTGACACTCGCCTGGTTTAAAGCAGTTTTTGAAACGGAGTTTTGCTCTTGTCGCCCAGGCTGGAGTGCAATGGCACCATCTCGGCTCACTGCAACCTCCACCTCCCGGGTCCAAGCGATTCTCCTGCCTCAGACTCCCAAGTAACTGGGATTACAGGCACGCACCACCACACCTAGCTACTTTTGAATTTTTTTTTTTTTTTTTTTTTTTTTTTTTTTTTTGTAGAGACAGGGTTTCTCTCTATTGTTCAGGCTGGTCTCAAACTCCTGATCCCACCAGCTTCAACCTCCCAAAGTGCTGGGATTACAGGCGTGAGCCACCTCGCCCAGCCTAAAGCACAGTTTAACGTGGTCCTGCCTGATACAGAGACTTGCAGTTAGAAATACCGAAAGAGGGCCGGGCGCAGTGGCTCACAACCTGTAATCCAAGCACTTTGGAGGCCAAGGTGGTTGGATCTCCTGAGGCTGGGAGTTCAAGACCAGCCTGACCAACATGGTGAAACCCTGTCTTAAAAAAAAAAAAAAAGAAATACCGAAAGAGAAGGTTCCTGGAGGCCAGGGACACCATCCCACACCCTCACCCTCAGAGAAGGGCACATGAGACTCCCTGGGACCCAAGGTTGCCAGGGTGGCCGGATTTGGCAAATGAAAATGCGGGAGGCACTGGGCGCTGTGTGTCACGCCTGTAATCCCAGCACTTTGGGAGGCCGAGGTGGGTGGATCACAGGGTCAGGAGATCGAGACCATCCCATCCTGGCCAATGTGGTGAAACCCCATCTCTAAAACAAAAGAAAATGCAGGAGGCTCAGTTTGACTGTGAGGTTAGGGTGAGTTTGACCATCAGGAAAACAGTTAGTAGTAACTTTAATTTGAATATGTCCCAACAGTATTTGGGATGTAGTTATTCTAACACGAAGCGTTGGCTGCATGCCTGAAATTCACATCGAACGGGAGTTCTTTATATCTGAGGACCCCTTGGGACTCCCTTGCCTCCTGTGGTCCCATGAGGATCACTCCTGGGCCGTTCGCCCTGACAGTGGTCCGTGGTGGCAGGTCGGGAGGTGTTGCTCATGTGGGACAGGCGACAGAGGTCCCGTTCTTGGTCCCGAGGTGTTAGCGCAGGTGCAGAGTCCAGCCGTGAGTCTGGAGGGTTGGGCGAGCTGGCGGCACATCCTGTGCCTTTCAAAAGTGGAGGAACAGGCTGAGACATTGGATTCAGCTTCCCTGGAAAGGGCACTGATTTGCTCAGCATTCTGCACGGTTCCGTGACTGCCTCAGAGGGGACGTGGCACTGGGGGAGCCCCCAGGCTAGGGATGCAGCACCTGACACAGACACGCCCGGCCCTGCCTGTTGTGTGGGGGTGGGCCCTGTGGATTGAGGCTGTGGGGAGCACCCCTGTTCCTCCCAGGCTCCTTTCCCAGTCCCTGGCCCTTGGAGGACCTCTCACCCATCCCAACCGCTCCGCTGCCTCCAGCCTCCTTGCCCCCGACTCCTTTCCAAGGGTCTTCACGAGCAGCCAGTGTAGCTGGGGCCAGGAGCAGCCCTAGCGTGTTCTCCCTGAGGTCCTGAGCCAGGTCACCTGGGGGCAGTGGACAGGGCAGCCTGGGCCTCCCTGTGACCCTCGTCAGCACAGAGAGGTCTGTCCTGGGGTCCAGAGCTCAGGGGCCCAGCCCATGCCGCTGGTGTCTTCCCCTGCAGTGCAGACCGTGCCCCTCCCTCCCTGGCAGCGGCCTGGACCTGCCAGAGCTCTGCCAGGTGGGGCCCGGCCGCCCTTTTCCAGGCCCTGCGGCGACTGCCACGTCTCCTCCCTCCGCCCAGCCTTCCTGCCTCCACCTCCGTCCAGGGCAGCCATGGGCCCCGGTCACCCTGCCAAGTGTGTTTGGTGTGCGCTGGTCCCTGCGGAGCCCCAAGGGCTGGGGCTGGGTTGGTGAGGTCAGCCTCTTGGCCAGGAGGCTCCTGTGACAGCCCGGGATGAGGCACGGGTGGAGGGCATTGGGGCTTTGCCCCGGGGGACTCCACTCTTCCTGCAGGGACATCCCCCGAGCCGGCAGCGCGGTGCCCGCGGTCACGCGGGTCCCGGTTGTGGGAAGGGAGACTGACGCGAGTTCCCCGCAGGCTGCCCACCCACGGCCGAGGCCCTGCTCTATGGCATCCTGCAGCTGCAGAAGAAGATCAAGCGCGAGCGGAGGCTGCAGATCTGGTACCGCAGGTAGCGCCCCCGCCGTCGGAGCCCCGCCTGGAGCCGTCCTGTCCCCCTTCTGTCCCGTGAGTTTGTCAATAAACCCGCCCTTGGGCCTCCGCCTCCCAGTGTGGTGTGTAGGCGAAAGTTGCCGAGAGGTGGGCGGCCTTCGGGTTGGGGGCAGGGACAGGCACTGTGCCTGCCGGCAGGGCGCTTTCCTGCTGCTCTGAAGACCCTGGCGTGAACGTTCTGGCCCAAAGTTGCCGGCATGGAGGGCCCTGACTGTCCCGCTCTGCCCCAAGGCGGGCTGCGCAAAGCCTGTCTGATCCTGTCCTGGGGTTCAGAGGGTGGCCCGTGGCCTGAGTGGGCTCGGGCAGGTCACCGCTGCCCTCTGGGCCCGTTTCCAGGCAGTGGGGATGGGCCAGTTAGGGGAGGAACGGGGCCAGGGGGATGGGGAGATGGTACCTGGTCCCCTTTGAAACCAGAGGGCTACAGGGTGGGGCTGTGTGCCCCCCAGGCTGTCTGACCGGGGCCTCTAGGGCCCAGGTCCCCTTTGGGGACCGTCTACACCGGGGACATTGGGGAAACCCTGGCTCCGCCCCGCCAGCCCCTTTATCCGTTGAAGTCCGTGTCCTCATCAGGGATGTGCTTTCATTCAGCAGACGGCCCATCTTCCCGCGTTCAGGGCCAGACGCCGCCGCTGCCGGAGCCCCCGCTCTGCAGGCCCACCCTACCTGCCTGCTGCGCTGGGGCGGTTCTGGGGATGCGGTTATGACAGGCCAGCTGGGATGGGGACTGGGAGGCTGGGGAGTATGGGGAGCAGGTGCCCAGCGACCAGGAAAGTAGCCTGGAGGCAGGATGTCCTGGGGCGGGGGGACGTCCTGAGGGCCTTGGAAGGGCAGCCTGGGCCATAGTGCAGAGCCCAGGAGCCGGCCTCTCCAGACGAGGGGAGGTGGGTGCAGGGGACAGGCAGGATGGCCCCAGGAAGATGGGCCTGCTGCCTGCACGCACGTGAACGTGAGGGGCGTGGGGTGACCAGCTGGGCACAAGGGCACGGACAGGCAGGAACAGGATGTTCCTGGGGCTGGGCATGTGGGGCTGCCTCTGCACTAGGCCCAGCGGGGGCAACGCTTCCAGACAGGAAATGACGTCCAGAAATGGGGGCTCTTGGCACGGGGCTTCGGCAGCGACGCCCCTCCTGGGGCGGGGGCGGTAGAGAAGCGGGCTCTGGCGGGGGGTGGGCAAGGGTCCTTGTCCCACCCTCACCTCTGCCCTGGTGCTCCCCACTGTCTGAGACCCTGGCCTAGTTACACCCCTCTCTGACCCCGCTGCTAAGTCTCAAGTGGCTCTGGTCTGACGAAGGCGCATCAAGCATCGGCTGGAGATGTCTGCCACGGGCAAGACAGTGGGGGGCCTGGGGCTGCTCAGAAACCTGCAGGGGAGTCACCCGCTTTCTCCTGTGTCTGGGACGGCGGGAGGTGAGGATGCAGCTGGAAGTAAGAGTCGCTCACTCACTGCGGACCGCCAACCATCACCAGCGTTTACTTCACCTCAGGGACCCTGCAGGGGCGGCAGGACCGCTCACGGACGCACGGGAAAGCTTCGGGCAACACGTGGCTGGGATCAGGCGGGGCTGGCAGGAGAGCCTGGGCTCCCAGCCAGGAAGGCACGGAGGAGGGCATGGGTGTGGCCAGGCAGGGGTCAGGGCTCAGCCCTTGGTGACCAGGGGCGTGATCATCTGCGGGAAGGCATAGTAGCGGCAGTCGGCCGGCGGGACCAGCGCCATCACCTCGGTGCGGATGTTCTCCCTCCGGAAGCCGGCCTCCAGCAGTGCGGGCACCTGCGTCTCCTGGGCGGGGGTGGCGCAGGTCACCTCTGAGGACTGTGGGGTCACGTGCACCTCGGTGCCCACCCCACATTGAAGAGCGTTTACAGATGCCAAGGCCCGGGTGGGCGGCTGCAGCCGCCATGGGCACGTGGAGGGCAGCCCCAGACCCCAGCCCCACACCAGCATCATGGAGCTTCAGCCCCCTGCTCTGTGGTTCTCCAGACCTTGCCAGTGCGGCTGGTGGGGCCAAACAATCTCGACAGAAAAAGAACACAAGCTGCCCCGAGGGCCACAGGCACCCAGCAGGCTCTCAGAACAGCGGCCCAGGACGACCACACAGAGCCCTCCTCAGACAGGTGCCACCACCAGGCAAAGGGTACAGCCAGAGAAAAGTACTGCTGAACAGGAGAAGCAGCTGGGTGGAGGCGGCCGGTGGGAGGGGAACCGCGGGGTTCAGGCTGAACCACAGGGCACGGGGGAGCCACGGGAGGCTGCTGAGCTGCTAAGGGACTTTGGTTTCTATTCTGTTGTTTTGAGACGGAGTCCCGCTCTGTCACCAGGCTGGAGTGCCATGGCGTGATCTCGGCTCACAGTAACCTCCACTTCCTGGGTCCAAGCAATTCTCTTGCCTCAGCCTTCTAAGCAGCTGGGACCACAGGCTCACACCCCCACGCCCAGCTAACTTTTACATTTTTAGTAGAGACAGGGTTTCAACATGTTGGCCAGGATGATCTTGATCTCTTGCCCTTGTGATCCGCCCGCCTTGGCCTCCCAAAGTGCTGGGATTACAGGCATGAGCCACCACGCCCGGCCTGTTGTGTTTTTGAGATGGAGTCTGGGTCCAAGCTGGAGTGGAATGGCGTGATCCTGGCTGACGGGAGCCTCTGCCTCGAATCACGGGTTCAAGTGATTCTCGTGCCTCAGCCTCCCGAGGAGCTGGAATTACAGATGTGCACCACCACGCCCAGCTAACTTTTACATTTTTAGTAGAGACGGGGTTTTGCCATGTTGGCCAGACTAGGTTCAAACTCCTGAGCTCAGGTGATCCACCTGCCTTGACCTCCCGAAGTGCTGGGATCACAGGTGTGAGCCGCCATGCCCAGCCTGATTTCCCTTTTTTTTTCTTTTCTTTGGGTCTGGCTCTGTTGCCCAGGCTGGAGTGCAGTGGTTCAATCTCGGCTAACTGTAACCTCAGCCTCCCAAGTAGCTGGGAGGACAGGCACACGCCACCATGCCCGGCTAGTTTTTTGTTTTGAGACAGTCTCTGTCACCCACACTGGAGTTCTGTGGCACAATCTTGGCACAGTGCAAACTCTGCCTCCAGGATACAAGCAATGCTGCTTCCTCAGCCTCCTGAGTAGCGGAGACCACAGGTTCGCACCACCACACCCAGCCAATTTTTGTATTTTTAGTAGAGATGGGGTTTCACCATATTGGCCAGGCTGATCTCGAACTCCTGACCTTGTGATCCACCACCTGGACCTCCCAAAGTTCTGGGATTACAGGTGTGAGCCACCGTGTCTGGCTTTTTGTATTTTTTTTTTTTTTTTTTTTGAGACGGAGTTTCACTATTGTTACCCAGGCTGGAGTGCAATGGCGCGATCTCGGCTCACCGCAACCTCCGCCTCCTGGGTTCAGGCAATTCTCCTGCCTCAGCCTCCTGAGTAGCTGGGATTACAGGTACACGCCACCATGCCCAGCTAATTTTTTGTATTTTTTAGTAGAGACGGGGTTTCACCATGTTGACCAGGATGGTCTCGATCTTCTGACCTCGTGATCCACCCGCCTCAGCCTCCCAAAGTGCTGGGATTACAGGCTTGAGCCACCGTGCCCGGCTTGTATTTTTTAAGTAAAAACGAGGTCTTGCTATGTTGCCCAGGCTGGTCTGAAACTCCTAGGCTGAAGTGATATGCCCACCTCGGCCTCCCACAGTGCTGGGATTACAGGCATGAGCCACCACTCCTGGCAGCCACCACACCAGGCAAAGGACTTTGATTTCCAAATGAACCAGCACAGTCCAGTTCACCCAGGGGGTCGGGAAGGGACCCTCCCCCAACAGCAAGGTGACCCCAGCAGCCCATTCCCAGCCCCACCCAAGGTCAATGCCTGCAGACCCGTGGGGAACTCCAGGTGAGCCCACCTCAAACATGGTGGTGATGTCGGAGTACTTGGACTTCATCAGCTCCCCCCAGGAGGTGAGGTTACAGTAGGTGAGGACGCCGCCCGGCTTCAGCAGGCGAAAGGCGTGGTTCTGTGGCAGGGGAGTGGCCAGTGGTCAGGATGGAGGTGGGGTGTGGGCAGAGGGTCTCCTGCATCCCAGCAAGTCAGACAGCGCTACCTTGATGAAGTTGAACTGGTGTGTGTGCCAGGTGTCCTCCGAGAGTGGGTACGTGTCATACAGGATCCCTGCACAGAGGACAGAAACCCACGAGATCAGGGCCAGGCTCAGTGCCTCCCCGGCTCACCCCAGCGGGTGGAGGTTAAGTGAGACTGGGCAGAGGTGGGGCTCCCACTTGGGCTTGAGAATCACCTCCAGGGCTCCTCCGTGAGTGTTCTCATCCTCGGTGCCCTGCCAGCCCTCACAGCCAAGCCTGCACCCACTGGGGCTTGGTCCCCCCAGTGCACACCAGAGGGCCCCCACAAGCAAAGGAGGGGCTCGATTGGAGCTGGGAGGCCCACCCTGTGATACATCCCTGTCGCCCCTCACCATCAAAGTGTCCGTCAGGCAGGGTGGGCGCCACATCTTCCCACAGGCCTTTCAAGGGGACGACCTTGAAGAAGGGAAAATAAAAAGACAGGGTCAGAGGGGTCCCCAAGATCTCACCTGCAGGAAGGGAGTGGCCAGAGGGACTCCCAAGGGAGAAGACCCCCTCCTCCACCCCTGGCGGCCCAGGCCCCGAACCTCCCAAGAGGCCGTGCCCTCACCCAACAGAGTGGGGCTCCCGGAGGGCCTGCGGGCAGAGGGTACCTTGTGACTCTGCTGCGGGGCCCAGTCCTGGAGCCGCCGGAAGACGCCGTCATTGCACTCGATGATCCAGTGCTCATCAATGGGCGCCTCCTGCACCTTTGTCGCTGCAATGGCCATGCCAAAGCCCACCTCCAGGACCCGGCCCCCTGGTCACACACGGGGCGCCCGGCGTTACTAGGTGGGCCTGGCTTGGGAGGCTGCCTGGAGGCAGGGCGAAGGGTCGGACAGGGCTGGGGAGGCTGCCTGGAGGAGGGGGTGCAGGGCTGGGAAGGCTGCCTGGAGGAGGGGGTGCAGGGCTGGGGAGGCTGCCCTGAGGGGGGTGCAGGGCTGGGGGGGCTGCCTGGAGGGGGGGGTGCAGGGCTGGGGAGGCTGCCCGGAGGTGGGGTGCAGGGCTGGGGAGGCTGCCCGGAGGAGAGGGTGCAGGGCTGGGGAGGCTGCCCTGAGGGGGGTGCAGGGCTGGGGAGGCTGCCTGGAGGAGGGGGTGCAGGGCTGGGGAGGCTGCCTGGAGGAGGGGGTGCAGGGCTGGGGAGGCTGCCTGGAGGGGGGCTGCAGGGCTGGGGAGGCTGCCTGGAGGAGGGGGTGCAGGGCTGGGGAGGCTGCCTGGAGGAGGGGGTGCAGGGCTGGGGAGGCTGCCCTGAGTGGGGTGCAGGGCTGGGAAGGTTGCCCGGAGGTGGGGTGCAGGGCTGGGGAGGCTGCCTGGAGGAGGGGGTGCAGGGCTGGGGAGGCTGCCTGGAGGAGGGGGTGCAGGGCTGGGGAGGCTGCCTGGAGGAGGGGGTGCAGGGCTGGGGAGGCTGCCTGGAGGGGGGCTGCAGGGCTGGGAGGGCTGCCCTGATGGGGGATGCAGGGCTGGGGAGGCGCTGCCTGGAGGAGGGGGTGCAGGGCTGGGAAGGCTGCCCTGGGTGGGGGTGCAGGGCTGGGAAGGCTGCCTGGAGGAGGGAGTGAAGGATAGGGCAGGGCTGTGCTGGGGGTCTGCCTGGAGGAGGGGGTTTAGGGATGGGCTGGAGGTCTGCCTGGAGGATGGAGTGCAGGGCTAGGCCAGGGGTCTGCTTGGAGGAGGGGATGCAGGGCAGGCTGGGCTGAGTGACATTTGCCACAGGACAGGAGGGCCCACCCTGGGCCAGCATGGGCAGAGGCGGGCAGGATACAGGAGTCCTGAGCGGGAACAGCGTGGGCCCTGGCCAGCGGCCAGAGAGAGGCTGGCCAGCCAGGAAGGCCAAATAAGACTGCTTTTGGGCCCAGCCCCCGGGGGAGGCGAGAGCCTTGGACTTTGAGCTCCAGCCCACACTGTTTGTGCCAGGTCCCTTATCTCTCGGGTTGGTAACTTTTTTCTCCCCCTCCCTCCAACCAAAAATCGGGTTTGCAAGAGTGTCCAGGCAAGACGTGGACTTGAGCCTATCTGGGAGGGGAAGGGCCGGTCCCCGGTGGGCCACACATGGGGCCCCCTCCATCCAGACTGGCACTGACACTGGACGTGCCCATTTTCAGGGTGGGAACACTGAGGCCGGACTCCTGGAATGGGCCTGTGCAGGGCCAGGGAGTCCGCAGCAGCCCTCAGGCTCTGACGCCAGGCAGGCCAGGGCCACCCCGGGGACAGCTGTCTCCCTGAGCTCAGCTTTCTGGGTGCTATTCTTAGCTGGGCGAGGCGGGGCTGCCCTCCCGGGCAGGCAAACGGGAAGCCTCCCTGCGGCGCGACCCCTCTGTCTGGACCTCGGAGTCAAGGACCCAGTTCCGCCCAGGTGTCGCGGCTGAGGTCCCCATCTGGAGAACGGGGTCCTCACTCCCCCTGGAGGGGAAGTTCCTGGTACCCAGGCGGCGCCTACTGGGTGCGGGCCCCACGTCCGCAGCACTCCCCGTGGACGACTCCGTGTGCCCCCACCTGCAGCCCCCCTTGCCAGGCGAGGAGACAGAGGGGCCCCAGCGGGAGGGCGGGCTGCAGAGCCCCTGGCGTCAGTTTCCCCTGCGGCCCCGGGGGCGGTGCGGGCCGGGCGGGGGCTACCTTTGGAGGCGGCGGCGGCGGCCAGCGAGTGCATGTAGGGGGTCTCCCAGCGCTCCATCACCGGCTTGCCCAGGATGCGCAGGTGCGTGTCCGCCGCGTCGTAGGCCGCGGGCGCCGCCCCCCACGCGGGGCTGCAGTTCTCGCCGGGCGCGAAGATGGGGGTCGCGCTGGGGGCGCTCATGCTGCAGGCTGGACGGCGACCCGACCTCGATCGCGGCACGTCCGGGCCCGCTCCCTGCAGGGCCTTGTGGGCCGGGGGCGGGGCCGGCTGGCCAGGGGGCGGGGCCTGAGGTGTGACCGGCTGGCCAGGGGGCGTGGTCGGTGGGCCAGGGGCGGGGCCTGTGGGGCGGACCCGCGAGAGGACGAGCGCGGCTCCAGGAGCGGCCTCTAGCGGCGGCCACGCCGAGGGGCGGCGGGAGTGGGGTCGGGGCCCCGGCCGCTCCCTCCCCCAGGAGCCTTGGGGCCCTCCCCGCGGAGCCAGCACCGCAACCCCGCGCCCAGGTACGCGAACCTGCAAGGCCGGAGGCTTACGTGCCTCAGTTTCCACATCTGTCAGCATTCAGCCCCTCCTCGCTGGGATGTCAGAATCTGAGGATCTTCCAGGCACTGTCGGAAGTGCTTTAAGTGTTTCAGGTAATTTAATCTTCAGAAGATGCTACAGTGAGTTGTGTTTTTCTTTTTCTATTTTTTTTTCTAACAGACACGGGGGCTTGTTAGGTTGCCCAGGCTGGTCTCAAACTCCCGGGCTCAAGTGATCCTCCCGCTTCAGCCTCCCAAAGTGCTGAGATTAAGGGCATGAGCCACCACGCCCGCCAGGTTCTAGGATGACTGCCGTTTTAGAGATGGGGAAACGGAGGCTCTGGGAGGCAAAGCCAGTGATCTTGTGGCCACGAGGTTGGGGACCCAGGATTAGAGCTCTGACGCCCCCGAGCTGACCCTGAGCTGCCTTCCCACTTTCATGAGCCCACGTCGCAGCCCCTGTCAGCTGGGGGTCACCTGAGACCCCGCGACCCTGATGGAGGGCTCTGCCCAAAGATGCCTCCAGCAGAGGTTGCAGTGAGCACTTCAGCCTGGGAGACAGAGCAAGAACCCTCTGAAAAATAAAAAACAAATAATAAAGATGCCTCCCATTCGGAGACCAGCACTCAATCCCAGCAGTGCCCTGCTCTGGGGCAGCTCTGCAGCTGGGGGCAGTGTGGGGGTGGAATTAGGCCTCCCCCTCCACACGGTAGGCCCTTAGGGTCACCACACCCCTTGCCTTTTCCTGCCCCCCCCTCTGCCAAGCTGGCTGCGGTGGCTTCCTGGCTCTGATTTGAGGTCCCCTTCCCCTTCTGAACGTGGGGCCACGGTCATGCCTGAGCACTGCCTGCCTGCCACGAGTTCTGCCCAGGTGACAGGTGGGGCAGTTATTATGCCCATTTAACACACGAGGAAACTGAGGCCCACAGAGGTTGTGGTCACAGGTTGCAGCAGAGCCGGGGTGTGAAGGCAGGCAGCCTCTGAAACGGCTCCCGCGAGCAGCCTTCCCTGGGCTGCCTTGTCTGGTAGCCACCTGCCTGGTCACTGGCTCTTCATTTCTTCCACGGGCCCTCCTACCTCCTGCCCAGCCCCTGTGCCCCTTCAGCGCCCGGCCTGGGTACATGCTCTTCCCCTGCCTGGACAGCGTCTCTCCCAGCCGGGCCTGCCTTGCCTTTCTGCCCCAAGCTGGAGCCCATGTGTCCTCTAAGAGACACCCAAATTCTCCCCCAGGATGGGCGTGGCTGGGTCAGAAGCTGTTTTTTGTTTGTTTTTGTTTTTCTGAGACAGAGTCTGGCTCTTCGGCTCAGGCTGGAGTGCAGTGGCGTGACCTCAGCTCACTGCAACCTCCGCCTCTGGGGTTCAGGGGATTCTCTGGCCTCAGCCTCCGGAGCAGCTGAGAAGACAGGGGTGTGCCTACCACGCGCCGCTAATTTTTGGTAGAGATGGGGTTTTGCCCTGTTGGCCAGGCTGGTTTCAAACTCCTGACCTCAGGTGATCCTCCCACCTTGGCCTCCCAAAGTGCTGGGATTACAGGCGTGGGCCACTGACCCAGCCAGAAGCAGTTTCATATCTCTTTGGTATTTCACTAACGGAAGGTGTTTCTTCATGGTTCTAGGGCTCCTCTCACAGGGCTGTCAGTGATCCTGGCACAAAAAAAATTCTTGATAGGCCAGGGGAAGCAGCTCCCGCCTGTGATCGCAATGCCTGGGAAGGCGCAGTGGCTCAGGCCTGTGATCCCAGCACTTTGGGAAGCAGAGGTGGGAGGATTACTTCAGTGCAAGAGTTCAAGACCAGCTTGGCAACACACAGAGACCCTGTCTGTACCTAAAAAATGTTTTAAAAAATTAGGGGCCGGGCGCGGTGGCTCAAGCCTGTAATCCCAGCACTTTGGGAGGCCGAGGCGGGTGGATCACGAGGTCGAGAGATCGAGACCATCCTGGTCAACATGGTGAAACCCCGTCTCTACTAAAAATACTAAAAAATTAGCTGGGCATGGTGGCGTGTGCCTGTAATCCCAGCTACTCAGGAGGCTGAGGCAGGAGAATTGCCCGAACCCAGGAGGCGGAGGTTGCGGTGAGCCGAGATCGCGCCATTGCACTCCAGCCTGGGCAACAAGAGCGAAACTCCGTCTCAAAAAAAAAAAAAAAAGATGTTGAAGTAAATCTGACAAAATACAGTCATGTTCATTTCAGTGGCAGGTGCGTAGCTGTTTGTTATTTTAGTCCTTGCAGGTGTCTGTATTATTTTTTTCCCTAAGATGGAGTCTTCCTCTGTTGCCCAGGCTGCAGTGTAGTGGTGTGACCTCGGCTCACTGCAACCTCTACCTCCTAGGTTCAAGTAGTTCTCCTGCCTCAGCCTCTCAAGTAGCTGGGATGCCCAGCTAATTTTCGTGTTTTTAGTAGAGACAGGGTTTCACCATGTTGGCCAGGCTGGTCTCGAATTCCTGACCTTGTGATCTGCATACCTCCACCTCCCAAAGTGCTAAGATTACAGGCATGAGCCACTGTGCCCAGCTTTAATTTAATTTGATTTATTTATTTTTATATTTTTGAGAGGGAGTCTTGCTCTCTAGCCTAGGCTGGAGTACAGTGGCATGATCTTGGTTCACTGCAACCTCTGCCTCCTAGGTTCTGGCTCATGCCATTCTCCCACCTCAGCTGTGGCTTCCCAAGTAGCTGAGACTACAGGTGTGCGCCACCACGCCTGGCTAATTTTTGTATTTTTACTAGAAATGGGTTTTCACCACATTGGTCAGGCCGGTGTTGAACTCCTGACCTTGTGATCTGCCCACCTCGGCCTCCCAAAGTGTTGGGATTACAGGTGAGAGCCACTGTACCCGGCCCCAGTTTGTAGGTTTTGCTTTTTTTTTTTTTTTTTTTTTCGGAGACAGAGTCTTGCTCTGTTACCCACCTGGAGTGCAGTGGCACAATCTCGGCTCACTGCAACCTCTGCCACTCAGGGTTCTAGAGATTCCCCTGCCTCAGCCTCTGGAGTAGCTGGGACTACAGGCGTGCGACACCACACCCAGCTAATTTTTGTATTTTCATACAGATGGGGTTTCACCATGTTGGCCAGGATGGGCTGGTGGCTCACGCCTGTAATCCCAGCACTTTGGGAGGCCAAGGCAGGTGGATCACAAGATCAGGAGTTTGAGACCAGCCTGACCAATATAGTGAAACCCTGTCTCTACTAAAAAAAAAAAATAACAAAAATTATCTGGGTGTGGTGGCGCACGCCTGTGGTCCCAGCTACTTGGGAGGCTGAGGCAGAAGAATCGCTTGAACCTGGGATGCAGAAGTTGCAGTGAGCCGCAATCATACCACTGTACTCCAACCTAGGTAGCAAAGAGACTCTGTCTAAAAAAAAAAAAATATATATATATGTATATATATAATATATATAATATACATATAATATATATACATATATATATCTACCTAATATACATGTAATAGACATACATACACATAATATATAATACATATGTAATATATACATACATACACATAATATATATCTAATATATATGTAATATATATACATACATACACATAATATATAATATATGTAATATATATACATACATGCACATAATATATATAATATATATACATACATGCACATTATACCTAATATATATGTAATATATACACATACATATAATATATATCTAATATATATGTAATATATATACATACATGCACATAATATATATCTAATATATATGTAATATACATACACGTAATATATATCTAATATATGTAATATATATACATACATGCACATAATATATGTATCTAATATATATGTAATATATACATACACATAATATATATCTAATATATGTAATATATATGCATACACATAACATATATATCTAATATATATGTAATATACATACACACCCATAATATATATGTCTTATATATGTAATATATACATACATACACATAATATATAACTAATATATATGCAACATATATACATACACATAATATATATCTAATATATATGTAATATATATACATACATACACATAATATATATAATATATATGTAATATAGATACACATAATATATATATAATATATATATAATATATATACATACACATAATATATATAATATATATGTAATATACATACATACACATAATATATATATAATATATGTGTAATATACATACACATAATATATATGTAATATATATACATACATACACATATATAAAACTTGTCAGCATCTGTGCCCACCCTCCTTCTTTGTCCACATCCTGCGAGTTTCATCCACCCTGCTTCACTGTTGATGTACCCAGTCACCAGTGGATGGGTGTATGCTTGCTTCAAATATTCTAGTCTTGTTTGGTTTTGGTTTTGGTTTTTGGTGTCAAGCTCCTGGGCTCAAGCAGTCTTCCTGCCTCGGCCTCCCAAAGTGCTGGGATTACAGACTTCAGCCACCACGCCCGGTCCTTTTTTCTTTTTTTTTCTTTGGCAGGGTTTGGCTCTTAGGCCCAGGCCAGAGTGCAGTGGTGCGATGTCAACTCAGTGAACCCTCCAACTCCTGGGCTCAAGTGATCCTCCTGCCTCAGCCTCCAAGTAGCTAGGACTACAGGCATGTGCCACCAAGCCTGTCTGATTTTTATTTTTTTGTTTTTAAATTTTTTTTAATTGTTATTATTTTTTTTAAAGATGGGGTTTCACCATGTTGGCCAGGCTGGTCTTGAACTCCTGACCACAGGTGATCCACCC